CGATTCACATACTTTCAAAGAGTGCTGCTTCATAAACTGCACGCAGGATACGCTTCCTCACAATACGCTCGGCATCTTGCAGCTTGCGACTGGAGCAAACCACACTCTCGCATTGTTGGAGTTTGGTGACGGCCGAAGGGAGCTTTGGGGGTGTGGAGATGGACGTAAAGGGCAGCTGGGTCCTCAATACATGGGACAGTTGACAGAATTCACGCCGATCAGCATACCCTTGTACCAAACTTATGCTTCCCGAGGATATACCTGTTGTCTCATCGCTGCCGCTTGGGAGACTTCATATCTTGTTTTGAAATCTCCTTCCCGATCAGACGTAGTCATCTCGATGGGTTCGAATGACTTTGGGGCACTCGGTGTGGGCACAAAACAAGCTACGGCAACTCCGGCGGTTGTTTCGTTTGATCACCTCACTATCAAGGGACATTCTATCAATCCCAATGAGCTCGTTGTCGAGTCCATTGTTGCAGGACCTCGTCATGTCATACTTCATGTACGAGCCGGTCTCAATAATGGAGATTCGCTCATTGGCTGGGGTTTGGCCAGACATGGCCAACTAGGGGACACGAAGATCGTAAACTATGACCGCCCTCACATCATTTCCCTTGATGTATCTTCAGATCCGGTGCAAATATGTTCTCTTGGTCTCCAACATACCATCGTCTGCCACCAATCGGGGCGAACAACAGCCTTTGGATCTAACAAGAAAGGACAGCTCCATAGGATGGATTCTTGGGGGCGTGTTCGACAAGTTGGGTGCACGTGGAATGGGACATATCTTCTCACAGACGATGATGAAAATACTCTTATATCAACGGGAAGTAATACCCATGGTCAACTAGGTCGGGAGTCGCAAGTCGAGGAGAATGGGATTACCGTCGGGCCTGTCGAATTTACCTTATCTCACGATGGCAAATTGCCTTCACTGAGATCCCTTGCTTGTGGCAGCGAACATGTAATGGCAGTGATCTCTCCATCTGACTCATTAGACATGGAAGTTTGGGGTTGGGGGTGGAACGAGCACGGTAACTTGGGGCTGGACCATACGGATGATGTGCTGAAGCCCATCAAGATCTGGCCAGCAAGAGGACACGTGCTGGAGGGAAGAATTGCTCGAGTATGGGCTGGAAATGGGACTAGTTGGATATTGTTACAAATATAACGATGAAGCTTCTGAAGTGCGATTTTATGAATGTGTGTTCCTACAGTACTGACTCTAAGTGTATTCCCCACCACTTCTCTGTTGCCTCGTCAAGTTCCACCAATCGCCGATCCTCACGTAAAGATAACCATTGGGATGACTCGTCAATAACTTTTCATCAAAATCCTGAAGACGAATATCATCTCGACCGTGTCCTCCAGACAATGCGGCGGCAACATATGCTGAACGAAGCAAGTTCTCCACTGCGAAGCTGAACTTTCAGAACACTATCAATCCTCTCCGGGGGCCCAGCCTACGGGATTAACACGCGCTTTTAGGCAGTGAGGAGGAGATGGGACTCAGATTCGTGTCAAGTACAAGGCAAGAGCTGCTGCTAATGCTGTTCCCAGTGCGCATCTGGAGGAGACCTCGGAGAAAGCCTGTGCTTGGAACCAAAATATATATACGTTTTGAGACCTGGAATTCGCCTGAAATGTAATTGTCATGCAGTTGTCTGTTGATATCTGCATTATTGAGGCAGAAGTCATTGCGCCTTATGCCTTCAGTCATGATCCGAGAGTCTCGTCCAGAATCGGTACATTAGAAAAGAGAATGGCTGACACTTACTCACTGCTTGAGATGATCAATACGGATGTCGATGGCACATCGTATCGGTGAGTGAAACTCGACACGTTTAACGTTTAACTGGACGAATAGTGAGGATACGCGCAGCGCACGCTTTATACATCTTCAGATGAGTGAGCCAACCTGTGCATTGCTAAAGTAGCATCGGATCCAATCACACATCTCTAGGACGACATGTCACTAACACACTCCCATATGCCCCGCAGATTCTCCTTCCACAATGTGACTTTCCCGTCGCCACAACTAACAGCAAGAATGTTTCCAGCAAGACTCCATGATACGCGCCATACGACATCAGGGAATTTGCCTGCAGCTGCCGCACTAGGTGCTCCTGAGGCAGTCGAAGGATCAAGAGCAGTCTTCACCCATGTAGAAGTTAATGAGTCTTTTGTCCAGATCAACACTGTCTTATCCTTGAAATCAAGATATCTTCAGACAAAAAATACAGGAAAAAAGTACTTTGTAACGAACCTGAGATGCTGTTGCAATATAACTCCTTGGCAGACCGATATTGGGTGCCCATGCAACATCACGCACCCAATCTGTGTGTCCATCAAGTGTCTCTTCCTCCACCCACGACTGTGTGTCTTCACGGTAGCCCCAGATCTTGACAAGATTGTCACAACCAGCGCTAGCAAAACGTTTGAAGGGTGCAGAAGGCTGTGCGCCAGGTTGTTGTGGGTGAATGAGCGATCCGGGCTGTGTCGCGGGCGCCCAAGAAACAGAGTTGCAGCCGATGGCATGACCATTGAAGATGTCAGCACCCCACTGACCGTCATCTGTTACCAAATGTTCGTCAGAGATGTCAGCTGTGAATAAAAGAGTGCACACCTTTGAAGGTGAGTACAGAAAGCTTTCCATCTGACGACGCGCAAGCCAACATTGCACCAAGCTCATGAGGAGCCCACGACACGGAGTTCACTGAAGCGGCGTGTAACGTGTGCTCCTTTACCCTTGTCCACCCACCATCGGTCGTGCCTTGAGACCGCTCCCCCCATATCAATACTTTGCCATCGTATGAGCAGGAAGCAAGTATGTGTCCAAATTTCGGGTGTGCCCAGGCAACCTGCCACACTGGACCCGTGTGCCTGTCAGGAAGGATGCAGAATTATGAGTGTATTCAACATGTACATCAAACCACGAACCCCTTTAGAGTATGGCCACTAGATTTCAGTGGTTCCCCACCAATAACGTCGAAGACCTTGACCGTTCTATCTGAAGAACACGTCGCTAAACGCTTGCCATAGTAGTCAAGTTGCGCATCATGCTAGGGTTGAATTTTTGAGTACAGGTTCAGGATGCGATGATGATGTTGTTGCATACAATCATGTCTTCATGAGCGGTTTCAATTGGAACTGCTTCGGTCGTGGTCGCAGACGGCATGTTTGCTCGATACTGCAGATGATTTTGGAATCTGGACAATGGGGACGTGTCGTGACAGCAGCTAATCTGAGTTTGAAACCAAACCACTATGTGACTTATGACCTCGAGGTCAACTCTTATACGCAATCGACAAATGATATGACCTGCACACTCTCAGACTGACAACATAAAGAGATGGATTCCATCTCATTATCATCGTTATCCAGTCTCACCACACACCAAAAGTCTTCTCTTGAAAAAGGTGCGTCTTCAATGATCATTGCATGTCCGTTGGATATACAAATGAATGCAACCCTCATAGGAGGATACATAAATTTATCAAACCTCTTACTCAATACGTCAAGTGATATCTCGCGCACGACGCGCATTGCTCCATTAGAGGTCACCAGAATTCTCGAGGCTGCATGTCGAGAACACGCAGTGCCCATCAACAAAATCAAAGACCTGCCGATGGAAGGCGAAGAGAAGTTCACCACTGGAGATGCTGAATTAGATAGTATGTTGGATGGTGGAATTAGAACGGGAATGCTCTGGGAGGTTGTAGGTGAAAGGTGAATGCATTGGATTGCTTATCAGCACAGAAAATTGATATACTTTTTAGCGCTGCGGGCAAGACACAGTTAGCCCTTCAACTCTCACTGTTTGTTCAGCTCCCTTCTAGATTAGGAGGCGTCCTAGGTTCCGCTTTTTATCTGACGATTGCGTCGCAACTGCAAACTACACGAATGGAACAAATACTCAATACCCATCCACTCTTGTCGCCTTCACTGTGTTCTTTCGCAAATATACAGCACGCATCCGTTCCAACTATCGACAAACTCATTTTTGTCCTGTCTAAATCTTTGCCGCAATATATATCTGCAAATAACCAAAACTCATCATCAAGACCTCTCAAACTGATTGTCATCGACGCTATCGCTGAACTTTTTCACACTTCCAAGAGGACCACCACACAGTTCCTAGTCGAGCGGTCTCGCAGACTTTCTGAAATAGGGATGCTCCTGCATTCGCTCGCCAGCAAGCATCAAATAGCGGTCCTAGTCCTGAATGAGGTCAGCGATACTATCCACAGGGATACTGCTCCTTTGGACAGTGGGCAGATCGGCTACAAGGATCAGTTCCGGTGGTTCGGTCGTGCAGACAGTGTCCTAGGGGAGGATAGGAAAGAAGCAACGCTCGGTCTGGTCTGGTCGAATCAGTTGAATGTCAGAATCTTTCTCTCGCGAACAGGTCGCCGTCGATACCTTGAAGAGAGCGAGCACTCAAGGAAAATTCAGAAGTCGGCCTCAGCGACGTCGTCGAATATTTCAGTCGGCGATCAACAACCCGTGCTTATTAGGCGCCTAACCGTGGTGTTCAGCTCGGTGTGCGACCCTGCCTCTTGTGACTATGTAGTTACTGCGCAAGGCATCTCAGTTGTTCCTGGCTCTACTGTTCTGCTTACTGCTCGACCTGCAGTAAGCACAGCTACACCTCCAAGGACCACCCATGATTCGATGTCACCTCACGGGGACTTCACTCAAATGCAAGAGGCTCAATTAGCGCCGTTGGATATCGGCCATATTGTGGATAGCACAGTCATTGACAGTAGATATTCCACACCAGACAACGAGCCAGGGGATGACGAATGGGACGCTTTTTGGGAGCGAAATGCGTTACCGGAGTGTGTGTTTGAGGAAGCAGTGAATTTGACTGAATCCTCGTGATACCTAACGTTGTCTGCAACAACCAACCGTTTGTGCATACGCTGTTTTTATTAGCCAGTGCGATATATACATATATGTAAAATTCCATATTCATACAAAGCTGTTCCCAACATTGGCAATACAAGTACAAAACCAACATGTCTGTCTACAGAGGAATCTCGGTCCACCTTTCGTGGGTGCGCCCCTCCTTTATGTGTTCTGCCTTCTTGCTGGAGGACTGAGGGTACGCATTCTCCAACTCCACGTCCAGCGGGTGTTGGAAGGCAGTGAAATGTGAACTTGCTGCTTTAGTGATCGGATACCGAGGCGAGACCTTAGTGATACCGGGGTGTTTATCCCAGGATGCTAGTACGAGACCAACCAAAGCTGAACAATAGTAAGCGACTGGGTTGGAATAACATGATTCGCTGAACATACCGAAGATAGAAGCCATATAGAAAACAGCCAGGAGAACATTAGCCATTGTGCAGTCACCAGACTGAGAAAGGTCATGACAAAGGGCGGTCGCGTGATTCTGACGTGCATGGATTGTTAAAAGGACGCAAGATGCTGGTAGCATGTCAGAATGATGGCAGGTACGAGCAGCGAAGTCATGTCACGTACTGACATCTGAAAGCCACAAAGTGCCAAAGGTAGCAATATTTCTAGTGTTGCTAGATTCTGCATGTCGCCTGCAACACAAGAATGAGAAACTGCTCGAGCCATCAGCTTTTCACATTTACAGTGTGCCATGGTGAACTCACGTAATGAGGAATACCAACAGAGCTACGATGTTTGACGCAAGTGCAACGGCCTCAAAAGCTGAAACAAACTGGTGTGAATGAAGGCTGAAGCTAGGTGTGAAGCACTCACGTCCTGCGGTGTGCGCAACAATATCCGGACTTAGAATCACAATCGATATGACATTGCAGATACCAATAACGACTTGAAAGAAGCAGATGAGTAAATGCATCGTACGAGAAGAACAGAGCATGATGGCGTACGGAGTAAGAGTCTACAGGCAAGAGTGAATGGGAAAGGCATGGTGTCACAGACAACCGATGTAGATGGGGCGATGCAATGAAAGTGATGATGCACAAGAAGATCGAGCCTGCGGAGGAACGTTGTGTGATGTGCATTTGCCATGTGCTGAGGTTTTATATCGGGCCAGCTTGCCACAACTGAACTGTGGTCTCGTCGAGTGGCAAAAGATAAAAGCGGCATGTGGAGGAAAGAAGCGAAAGCCAATGCAAGGATATAGTATCACCATTGTCCTCAGAAGTGTGGTCAATAGGACACGAAAGTTGCTTTTCTGTGGACCAACCTGCGGTGCATGGACCACCTTGCAGGCCCGGTTGATAATGCTCGGAGAAGATCACATGAGTTTAATTACATACGGTGAAACACATACCCGTGTTAAAATGATCAAGGGTGCTTTGCTATACCACTCAGAAACGTCACAAAGAGGCCAATACACCCGGACATCGACATATCAGAATCCGGTACTCCTCGCGCACACAGTTAGGAGGGAAGTCGGAGTCTAGTAAAGTTAATAGCACAAGTGCTGCCATTTGCCCAGATTATAATATCATTCCGGCATTGCTACTTACCATGAAACTTGAAACGCCGAATAACATCAGTATTTACTGTTCCCCGAACGGAAGGACACTGTCTGTTCAATACCTGAATGTACGTTTGTCGTGCTGCACACTGGCACTAGCACTTAGACCACGGGTAACTATTTGGCAGGGTCGACGCCGAATCCAAGTCTGCGACAAGTTGGAGGCTTTCGCGGGCCCATGCCAGCCGAGCACGGGTCACTTATGAATTTCTGGCTCTGCAGGGTTCCGGGCCATGAGCGAAATGCATTTTGCATGTGGCAGCAGTGCACAACTACGTGCGCATTCTGTGAATATGACCTGCTGGTTGTCTGTGGTTTTTCAGTGATGGGTCAAGTTAACGCTAGCGTTGACCATCTAGGTCAAGTTCTATAAACATCTGAGTACAAATAATATATATAGCTAGAACTTGCACTGAAAGCGCAAGTCATCTTCGCCGGCTTCGAAGGTTACTCACGACATCAATCTTAATAACCTCACCAAGGCCAGCAGCCTGAAGGGCACCTTACAGCTTATGGAAGATGCTAGAATGAATGAAATATAATTATCCATATACAGGTGCCATCAATTCAATTTGAGACACCAAAGGCAACCGAGCCAAAAGTAACAACTAGAGTACAGACTACGAGCAAAGCGGGCATAAGAAAAGGGTATGGAGATGAAGACGTTGATAAAACTTTCAAGACAAGACCAGACGCCTCCTGCCCAGGACGATCTATGGCTCTCCGGGGGCACCAACTGCGACTGAACATGTGCCGTCGAATGCGTGCTTATAGTTCAATCAACCCCTCCTGCCCAAACGTATTCTCGCCCGAATAACTGACATAAAGGAAATTATCCTCATCCCTAGAAAACAATGAGATCTGACTTGGTAGCATTCTGGGGTGCGCTCACTTGTGCTCCTCATAAATAGCGCTCATAAGAGCTGCCGTCGGTGGGAGAACCTCGTCAACGAAGATAAAGATTGCCTTCTCTGGTGCAAGCTTGATGCGCTTCCGGATGACGTAGACGAATTGCCCGACTGTTAAATCCTGTGGAGCAAATGTATAAAATCGATGATCAGCTATCCATCGGCACTCGTGATAAGCAGCACGATGCGCACTGAAGGTACAAGATACTTCTTCTTGTCGATGGTAGGGATGTCTGTTCGGTCGGCCTTCTCACAAATTACCTAGAGTCGATGCCACTCCTGTCAGGGACACTAAACGTGGTAGGGTATAAGAAGGAAATGCTAACAGGAATACGGTCAGGGTACTTCTGTCTGATGCGTTCAGCCTCCTGCTTGCGCTTCTCTGAGAAGGAGAATACGTTAGTAACTCATGACCACATGACGACTGCCGGGCAATGATAGTACGTACCAAACGGGTGCTCATCCTTGAATTTAGACCTCATGACGAACGTTACAAGCGATGATCGAGGACAGTAAGTGGGAAGAGCTGACTTCTGAATGGAAAGAAGGACTTTATCGTGGGTGGTGGTCAGCGTTCAGGATGAAATGAGGACAGCTCGCTGTGCCGCAATATTCAAAGCCTCCTCGCGGCTGTGACGAGTGACAGCCGCGTGACTCAGCTGTGGTGACGAGGCAGCACGCTGACAAATTCGACAAATATAATGTATTATAATTACAACGCGGCAGTACACCTCAGTAAGCCCCCGACGTGCCGAATCTACGATACGTATACTTAGTATTGAGAGATAATAGCTGACATATTCTGTGTGAGAGAAAAAAAATCGAAGCTCTGGAAGTAACGTTACAATTAAGCCTCATGGTCATTGGCCATCCCGGCAGCCATGCCCACTGCCATTGCGTTGCCCATCTGCACCCCAGTCCCGTCTGTAGGCACGAAAACAGTCTTGTTGCCAAACGCTTGGACACGCGTGACTTCCACTCTACGCATCTCCATCCCGCGTGCGAATTGGTCGGTGACCTTGGCATCAGCCGCCGCCCTGATACTGACAGCTTGCGCGTCGGCCTCAGCGGTAAGACGAATAGCTTCCGCTTCTGCAAGAGCCTCGATCTTTGTACGCTCAGCTTGGGCTTTGGCAGCGGCAATGACACTATATGCCTCGGAATCGGCTTGCGCCTATTAAAAATGTTAACTTATGAACAGCTTAGAAAATAAATTGATACCGACATTACGGCTTTGAGCCTTAATGCGAGCAACAGCGAGAGCTCCTTCTTCCTGTTTGACTTTATTCGAGTTTTCTCGATCGACATTCTGCAGCATATAAATGAAAGGAATGACTATATCAAAGGGGATGAAACTTACGGCAGCCTCGACCTGCGCCTGTAACGCCCTCGTTGTAAGCTTGTCCATGGTTGACGCAATTTCTCCCTTGAATTGGCGGTCGATCACGGCTAGAGTACGGTCAGCTCCAAATGTTACTGGTATTGAAACACCCCACACTTACCAAGATCCTTCAAAATGATTCCATACTCGAGTGCGGCCTCGTGCATCTCGTCCATGGCCCTGGTACGAAGAGCGTCAAGGAACGCAGATGAAGGGTCCGTGCCGTCTTCGAGGTTGTCAGGTCCAAGAGAGCGCTGCTTCACCATGGTGCTGTAGTCAACTATAGTGCGTGAGTCAAACTATCACACAAGAATAATCGATGGACATACGATGAGCGACAATTTGTGTGAGGATAGACTGGGTTTTGTCACGGAGCGCATCATATGGGGTGTTGTAGCCATGTGTGGTGAGCTGCAGACGAAGTGAGCAATCGCTGACGAAAACCAATTTGTCGAAAGGCGTACCTTCAGGGGTTCCATTAATTGCCTAGCAGTTTTATGAATAACTCAAGTCATCAGATGCATGATTCTCACTGCTCACCATTTCAAATAGATCCTCAAGCCGACAGGCACTTGGTCTCTCGTGAAACTGGAAGCCAGCAACGTAAGATAGGGTATCAGTGACCGAGCGAACTACTTACATATCCTTTGTAGGCATCTCGAGCTGATTCTCGCCGAGCGTAAACAAACCACGCAGTGTGACGTTTGGATTTGTTATATAATGTTGTCCAGCAGGGAGCAACTCAAGATCGTCTCCACGCTGGAGAATGGCACAGTTATTTGCCGGGATGTTCAAGCTGTGCACCATAAAAAATTAGAACACGAATATTGGAATAGGGAGCGGATGAACAATAATGCCACAACGTATTCCTGTTCTTTGCCTGAAGCAATGTGACTCCGCATCTTGATTTCGGCAATCCTGATCGAGATTCAACTGAGCATCGTGAACAAGATGGGATACAGAGGTACGTACGAGCCAAGGATAGCGCCTGTTACTGCGTCCTTGATCGAAGTAGATAAATGGGTCTGGTCGACAATAGCCAGAACGTCATATGTTCCATCGATTGCGTACGCAACAAAACCTGAGTTTTTAACCACAAAAATGCGATTTTGAGGATCAGAGATGACTGCCGCTTGGTTCTGGGACACCTGAACGACTGTCAACCCCTGAAACTGAATCGCGGTGTCCGAGACTGATGACTGCCTTTCAGTATGGCATCGTGTAGAACATCGGGGCACGCACGTCCTTTGGTACCGCACCATTGACGGGCCCACCAATTACGGAGGGGGAATCCAGGGTATCGACCAGGCTTGGTCAATATCTTTGGGAGACCACCGTGATTGATCAAACCAAGGAAACCTGGAGAAACTTCCCTACCGGTCCACGAGACAGGGACCTAGTAGTGATATTTCGATGTAAGCCGCAAATGTTACGGCGAGAAATCCAAGTTCACCTTGTTTGACAAGAGACCCGTTCGCCCGGACTGTTGTAGGTTAAGGCGGTGAATACCAGAATGATGTAGCAATAAGGGTACTCACGTCTCGGAGTTGCCTGTCAATTCTCTCCAGTGCGGCAATGATGCCATCCTTAGCGATGGGTACGACAAACGGACGTTCTTCCAATGCATAGTCTGCTGTTTTGGAGAAGTCGTGCAAAGACACCCTTTCAAGTTTTCTGGGATGGGTGCCAGTGGAATAACTGTCATAGCTTTCGTCGATGCGGTCGGATTTCTTGAGGCCTTTGTGTTTCACAGGGTAGGAAGAACCACCGACGACGGTGTCGGCATCTTCTTCGTCATTAATTCTGCTACTCATTTGGTCGGTCGGTCTGAGGTTGGTTGTGTGTTAGGATATGATAGTATGGTCTCCTTTAGACTATTAATATAGGGGAATTTACGTGTGAAATCTATATTCATACTCATTACACTGGCAGTAGTCACAGCACGGATCTTACAGCTGGCAGGCTGTGGGGGCGTAATTAAGAGAATGCGTCGCTAGTCAGCGCCGCCGATGGACACAGAATGCGTACTAGACCTGTAACTTGAAACAGCAAGACAGTGATATCCATTCGGTGTAGTACTAGCGATGCAGTGGCCAGGTATGTGTAGCGGAAACTCCACGTAATTTTTGGCACGTGACATTCACGTAGCGGATTTAATATGACTTGTAACACATTGAATTCAACGACCATAGTTTTAGCCGCAATGCGGATTCTATGGCTATTCTTGACGCTGCTCCCACTGCCATTGGTATGCTCGAATTTTGTCAACAACACAGAGAACCTGCTATGGGGGGCCTATAGACCCAACTTGTACTTCGGCCTCCGACCAAGATTACCCCAATCCCTTATGACTGGTCTGGTGTGGTTCGGCACTCAGAACTATCAGTCTATAGCCAGTATGTGACCCAAGCATACAACTACAGCAAATAAGCTAAACACTTCATCAGAGGCTCGTCACGCATGTGACCAGGGCGATGGTCTGGACAGCTACACATGGACGCACTTCAATCCACGACAGGGCGGTGTACAAATACTGCGCGACAGCCAAAATAATGTGGAAATTACAACCGAGTTTTTGAAGGTGCCTGGTGGCTCCCATGGTGGTAGTTGGGTTGCGCGTATCAAAGGAGCACCTCTCAACCCTAGTGTGTTTCTATTATGACCTGCCATGCACAGTCTACTAATACTTCCGAACAGAGTTTCCATCCAGAATTTCCACCATATTTTATCTTGGCCTAGAAGGACTAGGCGGAGTAGATATGGTCACTGATGAGAGCGAGAATGTGAGTCCTAACAAAGTGCACCCATGGCCAATCGAGTTAATTGAATCCTAAGGGAATCGATGGTCCCGTAGAGTTCTCTGGCACTACGCCTGACCTCGGTGATTTTACTATCCGCATAGTCGATGGTATGTTCACTTTGTTATTACTTGATATAGAGCGTCGCCTCATCCTGTGCAGCCCCCGACAACGAGGCTGTGACTACTGGCCCTCACTCTGAAGCTTTTGAGGAACGGCTGGGAAAAACTCACCTGGCCGGCTTGCGCCTGCCACCGGGGCAACTATGGACCGCGAAAGGTGAGTCATTTCTCTCTCGGAGATTGTATCATTCCGTGACAACACAGGACATCAGATCACATCATGCAGAGCATCGTTAACCGTGCAAGCCCGATTGTTGAGAAATACCGCACTGCTGAACAGGCGCCTGATCCTTCATTTACCCTACAGCTTCCTGATGATATTCTCACTGCAAGCAATCTTTTTGCTGTTCAAAAGTTTTTCGAGGGAGAGTTCCAGTTTGATGTCTTTTTCGAGAGTGCCAGTGCCAATCAGACGTTTGATGGTTTGGTCTAAAGTACTTTCTATTCAAATGGACACTAAATTCCTACCACAGCGAGCACCATTGATCAAGGCATTGCGGCTGTCGTAGCGTCCTTCAATAGTCGCTTTGAGGAGACATTCCCAATCCCACCTTCATACCCAGCTAATGATGTTACACCTTTGAAGTCTTTTAGTAAGGCTATCACCTCCAACCTCTTCGGTGGTATCGGCTACTTCTACGGTACATCCATCATCGACAAAGGATTCGCGTATGAATGGGACCAAGATGATGAGATCGATGCCGCGGATGATGGACAGAACGGCGCTCGGTTGACTGAACCCCGTGCTCTGTTAACTGCTACGCCTAGCCGCAGCTTCTTTCCGAGAGGGTTTTACTGGTAATCAAATAGTCGTTCAAGTTAAGTTCACTGATTTACTTTTACAGGGATGAGGGCTTCCACCTTCTACACATAGGCGCATGGGACACAGAACTTAGGTATTCGACGATAGCCCTTTGTCCTATATCTCGATATCTGACTATTTGTAGTCTCGAAATTCTCAAGGGCTGGATCAAGCTCATTGATAGCGATGGCTGGGTCGCACGCGAACAGATCCTTGGCGAGGAAGCGCGCAGCCGAGTCCCTGCACAATTCCAGACTCAAGTGCCTACTTTCGCAAACCCTCCAACTCTAACGATGGCAGTAACAGCCATCATCAAAAAATTCAATGCTGCACATGATGGACCTTCCGCTGCAGATCTTGGGATAGACTACGGCATTAATGTACAAATGCCTATTGCCAGCGAGCCGGAGTCCAGCGCGGTTCTCGACCGTGCCGCTGTGCAGTCTGTTCTGCGCGACATGTACAAGCCCTTGAAACGGCACTATGAGTGGTTCCGCCGGACGCAGCGTGGACAGATCAAGCAGTACGGCCGTCGGGCGCGGTCACGCACGGAAGGGTACCGTTGGCGAGGACGCTCTGAAGCACATGTTTTGACGAGCGGAATGGACGATTATCCGAGAGGTCCGCCACATGCAGGGGAGCTTCATTTGGATCTAATCAGCTGGATGGGCTTCTTCACCCGAACAATGAAGGACTTCGCACAGTTCATTGACGAAGAAGAGGATGCTGCAAGTTTTGCTGAGATTGAGTCAGCTATAATAAACAATATTGACGGTGACAGATTTCCAGTTTCTCAAGAGGCGCTGATTTGTTGTTGACTGACACAGATCTGCATTGGGACGAGGAAAGCGAGATGTACTGTGATGTTGGGATTGACTCGGACGGTGAGCCTCTTCCCCTCATGTGTGTCATTTAAATGCCTATATGCTCTCTACTAGATGAATCGACCCATATCTGCCATGCGGGTTATGTTTCACTCTTTCCCTTCATGCTCTCGCTGCTCCCGCCGGACTCCTCACACCTTGGGCCCATCCTTGACATGCTGCATGATCTCGAACAACTCTGGTCAGAGTATGGTATTCGCAGTTTGAGCAAGAGTCATCCTGAGTTTGGGAAGGGGGAGAACTACTGGAAAGGTCCAATATGGGTACAGATAAATTATATGGTGCTTGGCGCGCTGCATAACACGTATGCACGTGAGGAGGGACCGTTCCAGGAGAAGGCCAGGGAGATATATGAAGAGCTGAGGAGAAATTTGGTGAATAATGTGTTTAAGGTAGGTCTCCCTCGAAAACTGTCTCAGGCGTTGTTCTGTAATGCTCATTTTGACTTAGGAATATCAAAGAACAGGATATGTATGGGAACAATATGATCCCCTTACCGGAGAGGGACAGAGGAGGTTCGTATTCTATCTGGAATCATTTACCCCTGGTGCTAATCGTTCATATTGCAGCCACCCTTTCACTGGTTGGACATCGCTCGTCACGCTCAGTAAGCATTTTCGCTCTACCTTGGCCATGAAATCATCTAATGTCTACCTCTTATATAACAGTCCTCGCAGAGATATACTGACCTAGCCCGACATTGGCTGGGGAAAAATCGTTACATAGCGGTATATACCATCGATAGAATCAGCTGAACATATGGCATGATAAATAACTTTGCAGTACCGTGGAATACATGTGGGAACTTTTCACTTTAGACTCACTCGCCAGACGGCACAAGTCGTCCAGTTTACGTCCAGTCATGAACTATTTCCGGACTTCCACGACAATGTAAATGTAAGACGCGTGATAAGTGACGCACATGAATCCAACAGTTCGTGAGCTTTGCACAGGGACTCAGTCCTACCCGAGTCTCTCAAATCAACCCGACACAAAACTGTTGGTACCGAGCACAATCATAAATATTTTGATCAGGGTGGGTGCAGAGTTGTCGGGGTATGTTTTGAAATTCACTGAATAAAACATTAGTGGTCCACCTCGAGGTAATCTGGGCCTTTAAAAATTATGATTCCTTCTCTACACATGTGTAGGAATGTAATAGACCTGCACGCGATCTCCGAAAAGAAGAAAAACTCCACAATGGACGATATCTAACAACATACATTACACAACATAAACTTTGGACCGTACTGAAAAATTGAAATATCATACATACTGCGAGACGGGGATATTGGTGATTCATTCCGATTCTTCTTCATTTCCTCAGTGGCGATGACACAGGCGCAAATGCGTCTCATTCCGTGTCAACCTCAGGATAAATACGCATGATGCGCCTGAGCTCCGCGTCTGGAACCCTTGGTGTGAACACAATAGGGCAAGAGACATGTGGCATCGCCACATGAATGAAGCCCACGTCATCCAGCGGCTTCGTAGGATCTAGAGTGAGCTGGAAAGCCCAAAACAGAAGGGCTGAGTTGATCCACACTGATCTGCACCGGTCGGTATGAGCAGCGAGAATTATGTGCATGAAAGAATATATTTACCTGTTTGCAAGGTGTAAAGCGGGGCATATGCTGGAATGAATGACAATCAAAGAGAATATAACCCGAAAGACGGCACTACTTACCGCCGGCCATACCCATAAACAAAAAATGTGAGATCGTCTCTTAAGCCGCCTTGGTCATTCATCCAACGCTGAGGCTTGAACACGTCAGGATCAGGGTAAACTTCCGGATCTCGCGAGATAGCCCTGACAAGGTAATTGTCAAGACCTTCGCAATTTGAAGGACGATATTTACCAATTGCTACCGAGTACCGTAGTTCCGGCGGGAATGCAATAATTTTCCTGCCCACTGAATATCAGATTATCCTTCCCACGACAAATTATCGAAGAGTATTTACCCAAATCACATCTTGAGTTGTTCGGTGAGGAAACCCTGCAGTGTGAATGATGTATGAACTTCAGCTGCGGGACCGACAATGAAGATACTCACCATTGGGACTCAGCGTTCTCCATCTTAATGCCTCAGAGATGAAGGCATCCAGGAGAGGAAGGGATTGTTGATCAGCGAAGGTCGGTGCTTTTGTGGGGAAATCATTGAATCAACAGGACTGCAAGAAAATACTACGGACCTACCTCGGTGCCTTCCCACAACCTCATCAAGCTCAGCCTGGACTTTAGCTTGCTCCTCGGGAAAACATGCAGCTGCCATCAGCACAGTGCATATTGCTGCAGTAGACTGACACTCGATATCAGCCACATAACGTCAGATTCGGATAAACCAGGCCCCACCGAATCACCTCCAGCTGCAAAAAAGGTGCCAGGAAGAAAATGCGCCTCCGACTCGGACAAGCCAATGAGACGTTCATTTTCTAGCACATATCTCCCGAACGAAGGACCTGCGTCCACATTACTCTGCTGTGAGACAACTGAGATAACATGTGAAGACTGATAGATCAGAGACGCGTACTGATTGTTGTTTTAAGCGGTTCATCTGACTAACAAAGATTTTCCGGCTGCTCTCAAACTCCCTTTTTAGATTTCTGCCGTACCAAGGAAGGTATTTGAGCCAGGGGATCGTGTCCACCCAGTAAGCGCCAGGGCTTAGGACTGTCCGAAATACTGACATGTACTGACGAATCGCCCTGACTTCGGGGTCAGTTGCAGATGTAGGTGTATCCTTCCCATATGCCACTGTCAGAATCGTCGTCATAGCATAACTTTAAAATACTCGTAAGTCAATAATATATCCTAGACCTAGGAAAGTGCTTACCTTATCACGTGGTTCTGGAAGTCGGATGGATCATCAAGAACATTAAGGACCGTGTTCTTCGCAAATGACATCTGCATAGGCTGATATGCCTCAGCTGCTTTAGGCTGGAGATGCGTATGAATCGCTCTGGATCACCTTGCAATGTCAGATAGCGGCTTTTTTGTCACAGTACGCAGAGTACGAACCTACGCATCCGACGGAACTTGTCCCCAACGCCTGTAAAACCAATGGCCAATCCGCCGGTAATCATTTGTCCAGCATTCATGGGAGGACGATCAGCAAGCACTCTGCCCTGCTTCTCCATAATTTCCACAGCTGCCTACAGCAGGACTTTGAACCTGGATATGACAGCTGGGTGTGAAAGGACTAACTTTGTGGCGGCCGATAATGACAACTTTCTCAGTTCCTGCGCGAATGGTAATTACAGGACCGTACTCATTAATCCATTCCGCTACAGTAAGAAATGAACTGACCACCGATAGAACATGATTAGAATTCAAAAAAACAATCATGGATGAGATTCCTTACTTGCGAGGGGGAAGGAAGTGTCCCATAAGTCTCCAATTGGGAGGAGAAGGTGGGAGAGGAAGGCCACTCTTTGATCTAGGACGATAAGCCCGAGCAATCACTGCTACTCCCAAAACACAAGCTGCAACACCGAGGACGAGCTGCATGTTGTCAGGAATGGGCAGGTCAGACAGTAGTAGCATGGTTGATTAGAAGAGTGGAAGATGAATAGGACAGACCTTATCGAAAGCGCATTTAATACCCTTCACCAATCGTGGCTACCGCACGATGCCGGAGGTAAGTTATACCTTTAGTCGGACGCGTCGGTGCTAGGAGGTGCTGCAGTTGTGTGGGTGCTGGCGTGTGATTATTGGTTCACTGGTAACAGGCTGGAAGTTCGTTTAGCAGTAACAGCCAGCAATAGAACGACACGGAACCTTGACTCTTTTGGGGCTTTACGCGAGAGTACTGCAATTGAAATGTGTGAGCTCCGGACTTCCACAAAGTTGGTGTATAATCGAAGCAAAGATTGGTAAAAGCGGTATCCTTGCAAGTAGATGCAGGTATGATTATTTACCGCACAATGGATTAAATGTTGGGTCTATTTGACAGGGGCCAGAGAGTTGTGCGCAGTCGTTGCACGAACCCTCAGTTTGCACCATTATTACGCCCGATCATGTAGTCTTCCCTAGGCAGGCCTTTATAGACGATGGGATACAGTCGTTCCTCCTGACAGCACCTGTGTAAACTCCGTATCCGCGAGGCGCATACAGACTTCCGAGTCCCTCCTCGAAATTTGTTCGTTCATACAACTGTCAATGTGATGAGCATTTAGTAGTTGTAGTGGTACCTGTTGAATGAATCGTTGCTCACACAAATATTGACCGCCACTGCAGTATGGTTCCCCGTCTTACAATCAGGCTTCAAAGCACTTCCTGTTCATATCTGCACATGCCATCGCAATGTTAGTTTGTGATAAATTAACGCGGGAGGAAAGGATAAGATGAGGCGAGCGTGATGCGGCATGCCGCACTGCTCAGACTACACTTACATATAAATTGAAATTACTTAAAGTTGACCGCCAATCTTACAGAAGAGTGCTTATGTCATCGATAGTGCACGAATTTGTTGAACTGAGCTTGTGTAGAGTCAAGTATTGCGGAATCAGTTTATGTAATCAAGCTTAAAGGTTGGGCCGCAATGCCGCCGTTGAATTTGCAAAACCTAGTTGACATATCTGGAATGTATTATGTAAATATGGAATCCGTTCTAATGCCATTACTAGTAGGTGGTGTGCAACACATATCATCAAACCACGACAAGGGTAAACATATCGTAATCTAGAAGTGAATCGCTTTCCCGTAGGCAGCCATTGCTGCTTCCTTGAATGCTTCGCTCAGGGTAGGCTGTCGAAGAATGTACATTAGTATCACTTATTTAAAAGACATGGCAAAGTGCGTACGTGAGCATGCGTTGTCCGTGCAATATCCTCGGAGCTTGCACCGTATTCCATTGCCAGAACAGCTTCTGAGACCATCTCACCGGCATTAGGACCTGGAAAAGAAACATCGTGATCAGTATAGTACGATAAAGCCTCCATCTACCAGCCTTACCGATGATGTGGACACCTAGAATGCGGTCCGTCTCCTTCTCGCTAATGAACTTCACAAAGCCCTCGCTGTCTTGGTTGGTCTTCGCACGTGAGTTTGCAGCAAAGGGGAATTTGCCGATATTGTATTTCACACCAGCGGCTTTAAGCTCCTGCTCCGTCTTTCCTACCCATGCTACTTCAGGGTGAGTGTAGACAACAGAAGGGATGCCGTTGTAGTTGACATGACCGTGCCCTGCGTTGATGTACTCGACAGCAGCAATGCCTGCCTTGTCATCAGTTCTGAGCCATGATACAGCACCGATGGGGCTCACCTTCTTCCTCAGCTTTGTGAGCAAGCATAGGTCCGAAAGTCACATCACCAATGCACTTGATGTTCTCCACTGATGTGTTGAACTGGTCGTCGATGACAATGCGGCCCTTGTTGTCTTTCTCGATACCGACAGCTTCGATGTTAAGGCCCTCAGTATACGGACGACGGCCAACAGCCACAAGGACAACATCTGCTTCGAGCTGTAATAAACCATTTGGTAACAATTAGACTAGCCCATAAACCACCACCCACCGTCTCCTGCTTGTCGCCTTTGGCAGACTCAGTCTGAATGATGACATTCCCACCCTGCTTGTCTGCAGAAAGGACCTTAGTGTTGAGTTTGAACTTGATACCCTGTTTGGTGAGAATTTTCTGGAATTGCTTGCTTTGGAATTGTCAGTTTGAAAATCGCATTCTGATTTCAGGAGAACTCACGCAACCTCCTCATCAATACCGGCACCTCCAATTGCGCCCAAGAACTCGACGACGGTCACCTCTGCGCCCAAGCGACTCCATACGCTACCCATTTCGAGGCCAATGATACCACCACCGATGACGACCATCTTCTCAGGTACCTTTTGCAATTCAAGGGCACCAGTTGAGCTGACGATTTGCTTCTCGTCAATCTCAATAGCACCGCCTGGGAAGGGCGCGACCTCGGAGCCAGTAGCAATGATTACGTTCTTCGCCTCGACCTCGGTTGAGCCGCCATCATTGAGTTGAACCGCGATACGCGTTGCAGATACAAACGATGCACTACCCTTGATGTAGTCGACTTTGTTCTGCTTAAAGAGCATCTCAATACCCTTGGTGAGGCCAACGACGGATTGCTCCTTGGCCTGCAGCATCTGGGGCAAGTTGAGGGAAACGCCAGCAACTAATTTCACCGTGAGCAATCAGTCAAGAAACGCGCGCGCGAGACTGTGCACACCATCAATGCCACGCTTTTGGAGGTCATGTTTCGTTTGATGATAGATATGAGAGTTGTTCAACATGGCTTTTGAAGGTATGCAACCGACGTTGAGACAAGTGCCTCCAAGGCTGCCACGCTTCTCTATACATGCTGTCTGGGAAATCGTCAGTGCTTATCCACGTTCCGTCAGCCGAACTATACCTTCAACCCGAGCTGAGCAGCCTTAATTGCTGCAACATATCCACCAGGACCTGCAAATTTTGTACTCATCAATTTCAGTTGATTCTGACTTGCTGCAGCTTACCTCCACCGATAATGACGGCGTCATAAGGACCTGAAGGCGTAGCAAGCCCCCGGTGAGAGTTCCACGCGCCAAGCTGGACGGTTGCCTTACGCAACCTCCGTGCAACGTTCTACATGACAGTAAGTAGTGCAGAGAGTTGTAAGGCAAAGTTTCATACCTTTTGCGTTGCTCTCTGAAGCTGGAGCATTGATGTGGTGGAAGCCGGACAAGTCCTTTGCAAACAAATTCTCTCGGTCGGAATATCGTGTAATCGTATTATTGTCACGGTGTCACATCACTGTCACATCCTATGTATAAGCAAGAGACTGATTATGTAGTAATGAGTGATTTTGATATGAAGTCGCCAGTCCAAGAACTTGGAAGCGTGCAATATACGAGAATGTTCGAGGTCGGCATAAAAAGTTGGTTAAGTTGTAAATATGAATCGGTATCGTACAGGTCTTGAAATGAAGCAACGACTTGAACCCCGCCAGGCCCAGCATAATCATATGTATGTGCTCTGCAAAAAACCGCAGCAATTGTCACATTCATAACATATGAAAAGCGGAGATCACCGCCGTGAAATACCTAGCCCTGAGGCTTCCAAGTTCATGCTCACATCAAAGTCCTCAGCATTGAACGAAAGCGAGTCAAAGTGCAAACTGTCAAGCCGCAACTCGAAACTAATATCCCTTGGCCGTGAGGGCAAAGGCAATTCGTCATCGTCACCATCAAGCAGGTCGAGATTGCGACCATACTTGCCCTCGATCTCCCTTCCGTAATCATCATCAACAAAATGCACCGCGGCATATGGGACATCGGGATAAGAGTGTGTACTCGAGGTTGACGCGGATGTGGATGTGGAAGGAACCATGAAAGAGGAAGGAGGTTCTGGAGAGAAGGAGAAAAGGCGGTGCAGCTCATTGACGGAAAAACGTTTGCGCGATGCTTGGGTAGAGGGGGGGTTGGGTGACGTCGGGCGCTCGTCGTGCTGGAAATCATCCGAAGATATAGGACGCAAGTCTTTCTCTGGACGTTGAAGATCCTGTGATGAGACATGTCGCTTCAAATCCTTGCTGAACTTGGACTCGGGTGAAGGAGCTCGCTGAAAGTCTGCTGAAGATACTGGACGACGAAGACTATGGTCGTATGTAGGTGCACAGGGAGTGAGGGGCCGCTCGATGAACTCATACGAGGGCCGGATCTCAGCAATGGAAGGTGTGGTGTCAGAGCCCTTGAGATAAGGCAATGACGTAGTCGTCGAGCTCGAGAGGATTCCCTCCGAGGAAAACGGCTGTCTTTGGAAGAAGCTCGAAAGCTTGCGACTCGCCGTTGGTGGTACGTCTTCTTTGGAATGCAAAACGCCTCTGAAGATGCCTGGCATGCTCTCAGTGGATGTCCAAAGGTCCTTGACATGCGGTTTGGAGTTGTTTTGCTTGCCACGGGGGAGAGAGACATTCTTCATGGATTGGAAGGCACGGGACGCACGAGCACGGAAAGTCTTTGAGCGCTTTAATTGTGGCTCTTGATTAGACGGGGACGGTGGGACGTGATCCGTGTGATTGGGTTTATTGTCCTTTGGACGTTTGACCTTGACGACCTCAATCACATCCGAATCCTCTCGCACATCATGCTGGACGATGCGGATGAGGTCATTATTGTGCATGGCAGAGATAACGATATGCTGTGGGTTCTGATGCTTCTCGCTCCTACTGCTAGATGTAGAGCTCCTGGACTGTGTGACAATCACTGGGCTTGCACTAGGCTGCTCGTGGTGGAAGGAAGAAGTAGATTCTGACTCGTGCAGCAAGAAGGGTACATCGGATAAGATGTCAGGCTGGTTAGCAGAGGACAACTCTACGGATCTGCTATTTTCTGGAGGCAGGTCTGCGTCAAAACAGCACCAAGGAGGATTTTGCGAGTGCTCTTCCTCGGGGGGTATAACGAAGACGTGGGGCACGCGAGCAGAAGGGTCCGTGAACATAATGACAGTGGCTTGAATGAACGACAGTTGTGAGTTATAGCAAAACGATAGTAAATATTTGAGCGCAATAAGCGCAATAGCTTTGCGATAGCACTGGCGGTTCGATTGCAAACAAGAGTCAGCCCAAAGTCAGCCACAACAACTTTCTCTGTTCAACATTCAACTTCACTTGCCTTTTACGTGAATATACTAGTCATGGCACGGAACATGAATATATCTTTCCTGGGCACCTCCAGCGGTGGTGGCCCTTCAATTTCTCGCAACTGCTCTAGTCTTGGTATGACATTTCATTTTGAGCCACTTCATGTCGATCTTATTACAGAGACCACCAATACTTAGTCGCAGACGTCATCGGCGACGGTTCGCTATGGAGTGCGCTTTATTTCTTTAGCGCTTGATTAAATTGACTAGCCGTCATAAGTGATCGACTGTGCAGAAGGAACAGTACGACAATTTCAGATGCAGCATCGCGGTCAAGGAGACCCAGTCCTTAAAGCGTTCAAAGTGGCCAAGTTATTTGTCACTCATATGCATGGTTTGTTCCACCAGATTTTATGGAATTCTTATCTTTACTCCGGTGCCCTTTTAGCCGACCATGTAATGGGAATAATCACTTTCCTTAGACATGTCCTCCACCCGCCACTGATAGCTTCCTCTGGCGACCTCCCACCCTCAGACGGTCCTGTGTGTTATAAAGCTGTGTATGATATCCATGACTAACTCCTTAAAAGCCACAAATCGAACTTTACGGTCCTGCCGGCCTCCGTACATTTGTTCGCTCAATCTTTACCATGACCCTCACCCACACAGGAGAGCGCTACGTAGTCCATGAACTGCTAACATCATCCGACACGCCCACCTCATGCGATCCTGCCATGCTTCATCCGAGCGAATGCCCTGGTCAGAATTTCCTTTGTGATGACAATGGGTTCTGGAAAGGTGTCACAAGTGGTACGGGTTATTACGGTGAAGTTGTAGTTGATGCAGGGCCGATATTACATCGAGGTGGGAATTTAAACTTTTCTTATGCGCTAGTGCTGAATGAATTCCCACAGACCCTTGCATAGGTTATGTCTTGCATGAGCCTAATCCTCCGCATCGCAAACTTGTCATTCTGGGTGATACATATGACGCATCACCGATTATCCCGCTTATACAGCCTTCTGCAACTATGCCCGTATCACTCCTCATTCATGAAGCGACGGATGCGTACATCTCTCGCCAAATTGACCCATCAGCACGACGAACCAAAGACGAAGTGGATAGCAAGGTTGCGGCAAGGGGTCACTCCACTCCGGTAATGGCGGGCACATTTGCGAAAAAAATTGGAGCTCAGCAAGTCGTTCTGAATCACATTGGTAGCCGGTGAGTACATTACATACTCTGAGATTGATCTCCTTTAACTTGCTTCTACACTGTGGCATCATTCTTTTCAAACGTCATCTTCACGCCCACTGTCTGCCTTGCTGCTCATTTTCTCACTTATATCAGATTTCCAGCTCCCAAACAACTCAAAAATCCTCACGACTCCCGTTTCGCCGTCATCGCCGAAATTGAACGACAAGCGAGCGAAGCGTGGGGAGGTGGTGAAGCCGTTGTCGCATATGACTTCATGCGTGTATCTATTGCTGCTGATCTGAATGAGGAAGAATTTTCGGATGTAGCAATGGATTTGGAGGATGGGGTAGTATCACTAGAAGGAGTGGGTGAGGTGGGTGAGATGGCGAGAGGAAGCGGGCGTGGGAGAGGAAGAGGAAGAGGAGGAGGAGGGATGCCCAGAGGAATGAGCCGTGGAAGATGGAGAGGTCCGCAGTGGAGGGGACGGATCAGAGGTGGAGGTGGTGGGGATAGAGGTGGCTTCGGAAGAGGTGACAGTAATAGTGGTCTCGGCAGAGGCAAAAAACGCAGGTTTGGGGAATAGGCTTCGCACTTCACGCCTTACACACGCGAGTTAGTATTTTGAAGGGCCACGTCATAAAGTAGCCATAATCTTAATTATGAGTTGGTTGTTACGTTTTTCAAGGGGAAGTGTTACGGGCTTCATTATCAGACGTGGAAGTATCCTGTGTCACTGTTACTAATTTTTCTACGGTACGTCTGACAGCTTCTCCTTCTGATTTATGACTTCCGGCCATTAGAAAGTCGGATTAATGGCATCTTGCCAGAAGCAATCATCATAACATGTGCGTTCGGCTCTCAGGCTGAGATCTGACAGTCACAAGGCGTGCATAGAGCATCATGGTGTGCGCATGGATTTGAGCCGTAATCGTAGGTGATTTCCTTCTATGCACATAATTTTACCCTCGACTCCTGAATGTAATATAGCCTGCTAGGCTTATTCCTATAGGGCGCTTATTACTTCCTTCCAATCGCAGCACTCGTATGACACACTAGTGCGGCATCTAGTCTATAGATGCAAATCGATAACCGATTAGAATTAATTGCGGTAGGTCCATCACTGCACTTTGCTGCCAAGTACTTTGAGGTCGCATGTCACCGTAGCCAGCTGCTTTTGAAAGGATTTGTGGGCTTCTAAAGGACTCGATACAGATGGAAATAGGAATTAGGAAGCGAACAACTGCGTTCGTCGAGTAAGTATAGTAAGTACTGCAAGCCATCTGCGTATATACACAAAGACTTGATGGGTTCGAGCTATAAATATATGGGAACCTTCAACCGAGGGAATTCCCAGAATTCCCCTTCATATAAGTGCACTAAGGGAGCTGTGTGTCAGTTTTCTTCCCCCTTCTTACAGCCGTCGCGGACGACCATCCAACCGCGGCAGCATGACGATCCTACCATCTCCACAATCCTTGGCGTGTTTTCGGGCGCTATCATCTCGAGAATATGTCGACGAGCAAGCGGAACATTTCCACCGGACGAGGTGACCAAGGACATGCCTCTTAAAGCCCTCCTTGCGAATGCGGCTGTCACACTTGCCGCCCCAGCGACAGATCCAAAACTCCTCGGGACGGTTGGCAGATCTTGCGTTCGCGGAAATGCGAGGGCGAACGTGCATGTAGGCGAAGTGCTTCAAGACGCTGGAGAATCCTCCTTTGATGAACACTCCACAAGGTTGACCTTGCACATGGTGTTGACACCGAAGGATAATCGGGTCACCGGATGATGTGGTGGGTGGCGTCGGTCCGCTATCGCTCACATCACCACCGACAATGGCTGAATGGTGGGAGTCATCTGCACTCGAGACTTGAGGATCTTCAAAAATGGTCACGACATCTGCATCATAGCTATCATTAGATTCAATACACTGCTCTGAATTAGAGCACCTGACCTTGCCCATGATTCGCCAGCGAAAGTGAGCCATGGACGTGTTGATTGCCTTCTGCGTCTTGGAAGGGAAAATTAAGCTCTGGAATGGAGTGTTTGTGCTGGAACCATTCGCTACCGAATGACAACAGCGAGGAGGGTCTATGATGCTCCCCGTCACGCATGAAGTTCTGATAAAAGTCGCTGATCATAGGAAAGCCCGCATCAGCGTACTCGCCAGGCAGTGCGCATGCAGGCTGCGACATATATGTCTGCGGCCCGTTAATCAAGGGGTCATTCTGTTCATAGTCAGGCAAACGCCAGGACAAATCGTCAAAACTGCTAGAAACAGTATGAGTTGAATGAGATGACCATCGATTCGGGGACAAACCTTTCAAAAGCAAGTTGGCTGTTGTCATCTAGAGCGACGGGGGCCATGGATTGTAATTCAACATCATCCTCGTTACGAGGCGCGTGAACGTTCTGAAGAGGGCAGTAAGTCTAAGACGCAGCAACCTCGCGGAAAGAGCTTACAGGGACTTTCATGGCTATAGAGGTGATATGAGTCTTCGCTGTCTCCAATCACTCGCGTTTTTAAAGACAGAAAGGCGCCTACAATTTCCTAAAATCTAAAAACGCGGTGGAGGGCGTGTTTGCCAACTGGAATATTAAGCACCCATGATTTGGAACATCTTGACTTTTCACGTAGGTAAAACTCCCCGTGTCTAACGGCCCAGGTTCATAAAGGTCGGTAGGAAGACGGTGCGACTGGAGCAGCGGACAATGCTCATCTCGGCACAACGATCGTCTTGCCCTAAAGCAGTCAATAAACGCCCACATGGATGTGGGATCACAATTCACCTCCCCGCACCGCGCACGAGGGATGCACGCATACACTGGTTGCACCGGCCAAGATATGGGTTGATAAAACGATCGGTTTAAAAGGAGGTATCGCTCTCGTGGTCCCGCAGCTATTATCTGACTACTTTGAGCCGCGTTTCATTCATTTACCCACCTTGCTGTACATTCACAGGGGAAAATTGTTCAAGGACGTTACCCTGCTGTGTTTATCTTAAACGAATGAAGTCAAAGATTGGCCGTACTTTCCCACTTACTGGAGTTCGACAGATGTGTTTGAACGTCTTCAGTACGCCAAACGTAGCCCACCGCTAGTCCTCACTTTTACCGACAACTTCGATCGTGGACCTACCTGTATTGAAACCCAATAAAAAGTTGGTAAGTATGGGGAGTGGGAGTGTGTAGTTTATTTTATTGTGACAATCTTCCAACATGCTTACTTACATGATGTATCATAGCTGATTGTGCAGGGACAAATGTTGAAAATTGATCGCAAACAGTGCCCCTCGGTTCATAGCGATGTGGCTTTCCCACCATAACGATAGGAATTAGGCTATTTATGATAAGTGCTTCAACGATCCGCGACCCTCTCGGAGGTTGAAGTGACCGAGAAAAACCAGGCGTTTTTGAATGCCAACTGTAGTAGTGGCTGCGTATCAGGGTTGTTCGATGAATCTGAATGTTGAATTGCCACGGAGAAACATACCCTGACTTTGCATCATGGTGATGCATGGAACGTAGAACGGAGGGCAACCTTGCCACGGAGGCACACTTGACTTGAAGTTCCGTCGTTCAAAAGTTCAGCAGGCCTCAACTTGTCCACGTGAATGGGTGGGATCTACCCCCTGCCACTCCCAGCCATTAATCACAATGCACAGCTTGTGAATCTACTCATCTTTTATCGAGGACATATCTGAAATGGCCGGTCTGTGGATGAGTCAGTGGAGTGGCTTGCCAGGGTGCTGTTGTATCTCTTAAGGACTTAAGGGGGAGCCCTAGTGAGAGGCAAGTCTCAGAGTGGGCTTCGTGCTGCAACGAAACAGTGAAAACTTATCTGGGTGACAGATCGGAATAAATTTCTATCAAGCAGTGCTCAGGGGATTGACCAAACAAACACCATTTGTGGACAACTGATCTCCCTTCTCAAGGAGGATATTCATCACGAAAATGGGCAAACTGATGTGTCTGAAATCGCATCAAAGGTGGAGCCTTTGAGCTTCCATCCTTGAATAAAGGACTTCATTTTCTGAATCTGAGACTTATTACCTTTGAGCAACGCGATCTTTGCAAGGAATCGCTGTATGATCGACAGGTGCAATGAGCCACTTTAGCGTCCACTAAAATGGCTTGTACATACCATAATCCTGAGGCAGGTCAACCAAGGGTCATCCGAGAGACACGGAGCCCTGACAAATCGAAGCCATGGAACTTAACATTATTGAACCAACAAAACGATACCTCGATTAATGACAGGACAAGAAAATGATAGTGGCAGTTAACACTGATCCGCGAACTTTAGGCGTTTCTTTGTGTTTCACATTTTGTGTTGATGATCAAATATCTGCGGAAATTCGCGGTATTTGAATGAGACGGGCTGTGTGGATGTTACGTACGGCCAGGTTCATCAAGAACAAGTCCAAACCAACTTACTTATCGGGAAACAAACCCTTGATTTGACTATGTAATAAGTGGAACCCGTGAGCGGGGCTTGTGACATACAGTCTCCGGTCATGTGTCAGGAGCCACTGCTGCGATAACGGGGTCTGAAACATTGGTCGACGCACAGACCCATTACGCATGGACAGCACGAATGTAGTGACCCCTAAACTGCCCGATTGGTATGCCTCGGAATGCGAGTCCGATGATGAGTCCAAACATAACGGAGGATGTTGACATGAAAATCTCAGGTTGACGTACCCTGAAAAGGGTGCCACGAATGTTATCATGCTGTGGAATTCATGGATTCGCTGGTGACATTGATGGCATCAAACACTGCTTCCGAAGTGAATGCAGTTCTCAGTAGCGCCTTGTGATGAGGCTAAGGTTGAGATTCGGGCTGTCGGGCAGGGTCCTGGGAGCCGTTGTAACCACTCAGTCTGGAATACGAACATGAGGCTGTAATTGAGTTATAGAGAGGATATTGCATATAATACTGATGACTTGTTGACAATGTCGAGCGACATTATTGTACAACTTGAATCCAGGAATTTTGCCGTTGAAGACTAAGTGGATGTTTGCGTCTGCTTGGCAGTCGCTGAGGATGATTGGGGTCACAGGATCTCAAGTCACCCTTTCTCCTGGTCGTTCACCTTCTCTTCTTCCCATCAACGATATATCGTTTCAACTCCCAACAAGCCTTCGTTAACATCTCCAGCACTAACTTCTAGCCCCCTTACTCTTTTGCTGTTTTTTTAGCCGCGAGTTTGCTCTAATTGCTTCAGTACTGCCGCATCATCAACATCAAGTAGGCGCTCGCTACCAGTCGTGCCACTTGTTCCTTCCGATTTCAAAGAACACGTGCGATTTCCTGCAAGGAGCAATTCTTTTTCACAGATGGCTTCCAACGTTCCAATAAACGGTGTTAAGATATCTCGTACGTGCTCTCAATCAACCTCCACACTTTTCTACATCCAAATTTGGTCGCTATGTCTCTTTTGTAATTGTCATTCCTCCCCCGTCATTTCCCGTCTCATTCACTTCCTCCTTCTATCTCCTTCATGTCCATGTCATCTTCATCTAACGACATTTCTACTCAAATAGCCATCGATGATCCCCATAAGGTTGTCAAGGTCATCGCAACAGACGGTAAAACATCAGAACAGAGGGAGATTGCCTACACAAATTGCAAAGTCATTGGAAATGGCTCTTTTGGAGTTGTATACCAGGCAAAACTTGTAGGAGAGTCGAAGGATAGAGAGGATATAGCCATCAAGAAAGTCCTTCAGGACAAGCGATTCAAGGTACGTAATTCTTTTTGTTTGTCACATTGCGCTTCTGCGCTGGTCGTGATGTGGATTGCTCTCCAAGATGATGCTGATGGAACGGTTTTTGTCGGCGTGATATCATCGATATCGCGCGAATAGAATCGTGAACTACAAATCATGAGACTTGTGTCACATCCAAACGTCGTCGACCTCAAAGCTTTTTTCTATTCCAATGGAGAAAAGGTTTGAAAGATCTCCCTTTCCTCATCTTGGCGCTGATTTCAGCTTTACTTTTAGAAGGATGAAGTTTACCTCAATCTTGTTCTTGAATACGTTCCAGACACTGTTTACCGCGCCAGCCGTCATTACACAAAGTTGAAGCAGCCTATGCCGATGCTTCAAATCAAGCTGTACATGTATCAGCTTCTCCGGTCACTTGCCTACATACACTCAGTGGGCATCTGTCATCGCGATATTAAACCTCAGAATCTCCTGTTGAACCCTGCCACGGGCGTTCTGAATTTGTGCGATTTCGGCTCAGCAAAAATCCTCGTCGCTGGAGAGCCAAATGTTAGTTACATTTGCTCGAGGTACTACAGAGCACCTGAACTTATTTTCGGTGCTACCAACTACACAACAAACATTGGTGGGTAACAATATTATTCCGTACTGTGTGGGGGAGAGTAACGCTGTTCTAGACATATGGTCGACGGGTTGTGTGATGGCAGAGCTAATGCTAGGCCAACCTCTGTTCCCTGGGGAGAGTGGTATCGACCAGTTGGTGGAGATCATCAAGGTTCTCGGGACGCCATCGCGAGAACAAATTAAGACGATGAATCCAAATTACATGGAGCACAAGTTCCCTCAGATCAAGCCCCATCCGTTCTCCAAGGTATCACCGCCGTTTTGTGGCGTTGTTACCTCGTGTACTTACGTACGACAGGTATTCCGACCACGCACTGCGCCCGAGGCGATTGATTTGGTTGCGAAGCTACTGGAATATACGCCAGGGGCACGTCTAAGCGCAGTAGAGGCTATGGTGCACTCATTCTTTGACGAACTACGAGTGGAGGGGGCAAGGATGCCGAACGGGAAAGAATTTCCACGTTTATTCGACTTCACACGGGAAGGTATTGTCAGTAGTTTTGGAATGTCAACGGCTGCTGACCAGTTGATGACAGAGTTGTCGGTGCGACCAGACTTGAACCGACTTCTGGTTCCGCCACACTGCGAGGCTGAGCTACGCTCACGGTCGATCGACTTGGATACTTTTGTACCAATACCTCTGGATCAGCTTAAGATCACGCTTGATTGAGAGGAAGGAGGGTAGTATCTGATTTGTGGGTATCCTATAATATTGATCGATGAGTGCGTGTATCCTGTCTGTGTTGTATTGATTCTGTATCGTGTTCACGTCATATTTTTGTTGAATTGATTTTCCACGGTCTGTTCAGTACCACTGTACCACTGTACACATGATGTCTAGTACTATTATGCCTGTCGTTGAGCAGATGTTTTGTTGCTGCTCCGAGCTTATGTTGGCTGAAATTGCGTGACACGAACCATTATGGTGTGACAACGCTAGAGTTGCGTGATGTTGCGTGAGATGTTCGCGAGTGGGGCAAGTCTTGACTCCATTCGACACGATTAACAGTAGCATGAGATTATTATTTAATCCCTCAGTCTTTCATTTTTTCACCTATGGAGACCTCAACAACTGAATGCGATACCTTGCCTGCTCCACGTCTCGCTTCGGGCCTAACTCCTGATCTAGACCACAATCGATCTCCCTCACCTTTCCCAATTTTTGAGCCTTCTTCTTCCGGCTCATCTCCGCTCCCAACAATCTCAGACATTGAGATGTATACTACTCCAACCGCTCAGAGAAAACTATGTGTTCGCCATCAGAGAATGGCAGACGAGGGTACCAATTTAAAGCTACAGCAGGTGTGTCTGATTAGCTGATCGTGAGTTAGTTCAGCTGCTGATTTAAGCTCTACAGGCTCTTGATGCTCTCCCCGTACAAGAGCGAGAAGCTGTAAATGCTATCTGGTCCGGTTTCTCTTCGTCATCACATCCCAGGCGAGAACTCATTCTCCAGGGCATTCTTACTATGTGCTGTTTTTCTCAGCTCTCCTTGCTAACGGAGCAGCTTGGTCAGCTAATCCGCATTGACCCATTCACCGTCCTTCCCCGAGAGGTATCACTCAGGGTCCTTGCGTATCTCGACGCTACCTCTCTTTGTCGCGCTGCTCAGGTGAGCAAGCAGTGGAAAAGCCTAGCCGATGACGACGTCCTATGGCGCGGAATATGTGAACAGCACATTGGGCAAAAATGCCTCAAGTGTGGATGGGGGCTACCTATTCTCGAACGAAAGCGTGCTGTCCGTACGAACTCCGCGTCTCCATCGTCGTCTCCCCCTTCATTCCCACCTTATCATACCCCTGACTTGTTCGTTTCCGAAATACCTGACGCCTTACCATTCACACGGCCTTGGAAAGATGTATATTCAGAGCGCTTATCAGTCGAGCGTAATTGGCGTCGAGGGCGATGTTCCGTTCGGACGCTACGTGGGCACACAGATGGTATCATGTGTCTCCAGTTCGATGAGACCTTGCAGCATCCTTCTTTCCCAATCCTCATCACAGGCTCGTACGACCGTACTGTGCGTGTGTGGAACATCGAGACCGGCCTCGAGGTACGCTGCCTCCGTGGACATACGCGTGCTGTGCGGGCTTTACAGTTCGATGAAGCGAAATTGATCACAGGAAGCATGGACCACACCATTCGAGTGTGGAATTGGCGAAGTGGGGAGTGCATACGTACGCTCGAGGGGCATACAGAGGGTGTCGTTTGTCTGAACTTCGATTCCAACGTGCTTGCTAGCGGGAGTGTGGATACCACTGTAAAGGTGTGGAACTTCCGCACGGGCGAAGCGTTCACGCTCCGCGGGCACCGTGACTGGGTCAATTCCGTACGGCTATGGGAGTCCGAAGACCCAGCGGATGTTGAGATGGGCTGCGGATCGGGTAGTGAGCCAAGGATATGTCAAGGCACGCTATTGTTTTCAGCCTCAGATGACGGGACTATTCGCTTATGGGACCTTGCACGGCGGACATGCGTGCGCCAGTTCACGGGACATGTCGGACAAGTGCAAAGCCTGAAACTACTGGAAGTGGACGAGCGCTGTGATGAAGGCAACGGTCGCCAAGAGCATCGCATTGCAGACAGTAATATGGCCCATATCGCCCAAGTTGGAAACCCAACGAACCCCTTCGAAGTTTGCACGGTTATTACACACGATGCCAATAGCGAGAGCATGGAGGACATACAGAGCCTTGATCGTGTCACTAGGGAAGTGCTGGCAGGTAGCAGTCGGAAACGTGCCAAGAGGCCGGTGCTCATTTCTGGAAGCCTTGATAACACTATCAAGGTTTGGGACATTGATACGGCGAAAGCCACCCAGACTCTATTCGGCCATATTGAAGGTGTCTGGGCGGTAGCGAGCGATAAGCTGCGGTTAATCAGCGGCAGTCATGACCGTACTATCAAGGTCCGCCCTGTTCTTGAATAATCATATGCCTTGAAACTTAAATATCCGCTTTTAGGTGTGGAACCGCGAGGAAGGCCGATGTACAGCTACATTGGTTGGTCATCGTGGCGCTGTAACATGTTTGGGCCTTGGTGAGGACAAGATTATCTCTGGCAGCGATGACGGAGACATCAGAATATGGTCTTTTGCTGGAGATAACCGGCTTTGACAAAATATATGCTTTTCTTCTATTTCGTTGTCGTAATTCTCCTGGATCTCATTGCTTTCGAGTTGCTTGTGTATGACGCATTATTCCCGAGTTCATTATGTAGGACTAGAATGTCCATCTCGCAATATAGTCTAGCTTCTAATACAAAACAAGCTTATATGTAGGATCAAATACCGAACACAATAGTGCGAGTAGCGCAAGGGGTACTAAGCGCTGAATGTGACAATGGCCTTCAGCTTGGACTTCGACCTTGGAGCAGGTCCAAAAATTTCGCAAGGTGTCCGTCCGACCCCATAGCTGTATTCTTGGCCTATTCAGCCACGAGCATAGGGTAGCCATGCTCAAAGAAGAATGCTCTGGAGCAGGAGCGAGCGAGCCTAACACAGCTCCGTCATTTCTGTATCTTCGGAAATGACATTCTGGAATCAAAAGGAGAATGGGCGACAAGGTGGAAACACTGCAGTGCCTTTCATAGTAATCACCGACCGGTACCAAACCACCTTCCGCATCCCTGCTGTTGACTGATGGCTCCGCGGCAAGATATCGTGGATCCGCGGAATAGGCTAATGTTTGAAATCGATTCAAAATCTTTGAAAAACGATGGTCCGTTCCGTTAGTAAGCCAATTCAATAAATCAATGCATTGTGATGCTGAACCACGACCTACAGACGGCACACAGGTCACCGTCTGTACCATGGGCAAGCGGAATGAGCGTGTGATCTGCGGTGCTGTCATCGGCTTCTTGCAAATAGACCTTGGGTGCCACCCAGCAGCGTTGGAGTTCGATCGTGGCAGCTTGCACTTGTGAAGTTGACAGAAGTCAAAAGCGGAAAGCCAGAACGTGCTGCCCATTGCTTGAGATCACGAACTCGATGCCAGAAACAACAGATATCAATGAGTAATCTGATAGCCGATTACAAGAGCAAATATAACTTCGATATTAATATCATGACGTGCCTGAGCGATCCTACGATGTGCAACCCAGAGTCTAATGGCTGGAGCACAAAGAGTTGCCTGTGCGTCATAATAATATTGCAGGAGACTCGTTGACGAGAAATGTTAAATAATCAAGGTTTTCGCCGTACGTACCAGGATACCTCTCGGATTTGCAAGATGCACTTGAACTTTATCCTTTCTTGTCGCCATATTGCTCCCTGGGCTTCTGTGTTTTATTTCTTATTGTCGTGTTTCATTACATATGCCAGTTGGAATATTAATGCTCATCTTGTTCGCGATGTAATGTAGCTTCTATACAAAGTACATTCTTCTGCATATGATCAAATGCCGAATGCAATAGTCGGAGCAGAGTAAATGGCGCTAATGACCTGAACGCCCCCCTCCTCACCTGCGCCTGCCGCAACGTACAGCGGAACAAAGTGCTCAACAGAGGGATGCGCCTGCGCGAAACCATCGTGCTTCACGAGGTCGAACAGCGACTGCTTCCGTTCGTCAAGCTGTCAAGAATGAAAATGAGCAATTCTGAAAAGAGATGAGTATGTAGTATATTGAACCTGGGACTTGGATGCAGCCACTGTTATTGCCTGATCAAACATCGTCACGTCGGGTGACGCTGACTTCTCTGAAAATTGCTTTCGATCATGAAGATTGTGGACGGTCAGACCACCTGCCAAGATGAGGATTCCCTCTTCCCTATGAATGAGAGAACGTCAGAAATGTCGGTTCTTACTAGAAGATTTGAATATAAAGAAAACCCAGATACAAACCTGAGTTTTGATAAGGCCTTTCCGACCGCCCAGTTCTGTTCTGGATCACCGGACCTTTCGATGGATACTTGAACGATAGGCACGTCATCTACCTTGTCCCCAAACATAAGCTTGAAAGGAACAAAAACCCCATGGTCGAATCCAGGGCCTTGACGTGGCGGAGAAGTCCGGCCATCCCATCCGCGGTTCTCGTTAATGCCGGAGAGCTTGGCTTCTCTGCCTACCTACAGACATATCAAAATCGGTATGAAGAAAGTGAATGACTTTCTGTTAAGAGACCTCTTTATATAACAGGATGATACGCTCAGCCAAAGCGCGGTTTCCTTTGGAATCGAATGTTTGTTGGTAATAATAAGGCTCAAACCCGAAGTAGTCCATGAGTAAAGGATTCCTGTCTCCGTAATCCGTCACTGTCAGACCTAATGTCAGCTAAGGGTTTCTTGGGGGTACACTGTAATCCTTACCATGACGTACCCCTATCGTTTCCCAGTGAGCGCTGAATACGACAATGCCCTTCGGTTTGTACTTGGCCCTCAAAGCTGGTCCGAGATCACGCAAAAAATTTGCAAGATCGCCCCCCGGGCCCATGGTACTTGTCATGGGTGAGTTCGTGACCTGCCTGGAAATGAGCATCGGGGACCCGTGCCCAAAGAAGAAAGCTGGGATTTTCTCTGGGGTAGAAGGAAGTGCATCCAACGCGGTTCGCCATTCGCTTTGTGTTTTCGGAAAAGACATTATAATGCTAGTTAAAGAGAAGTAATAGTGTCGTCTCCAACGTTATAGCTTGAACAGCATTGACCTTGATGTGGCTATCCTTCTGGGCTCCTCCATTATCATACTTATCTGTCCGGCCAGTCAAAGACATGTCACGTGCCGCATTATGTAGCGCATGTGACAGGTTGGCAAAAGTGTGACATGAGGAGTCGTCTTGAACGGCTTTTCAGAAATTTGAAAGCATATGGAAGATTAGTCCATATTGAATTTGCAGGTGTAGTTTGGGCCGCATCAATAGCGAGACAATTACATATATAATCTAGTTTGTATTCTTTGCGACAGTGTCAGCTTGTTCGGCCAGCCGCCACAGACCGGTAAAACTTACGCTGATCAAGAATGTCAAACATTGCCATCAGGTGATTGGTAGCGTGGCCGAGTTGGTCTAAGGCGTTGGATTTAAGAACTGATCTGAATCCCAATGGGCGAAAGTCCGCGCGAGTTCGAACCTCGCCGCTACCATGATTTTATATTTTTTGATCCTTGCCCAGAATAACGCGATAGTGCGCGTGCTTTCACAATAAAGATAAAAAACCAACACTATGATAACGATGGCTACAGGTTGCTGGACAACAAAACAGCTTTGGTACATCTCGATTTCGTTTTGACATCACACAAAAAAATCACTCTCAGAAAAGCTACTAGGAAATCAATGACACAAGTCGAACCGAATTGTGCCGCATGCTCACCCCTTCGATGTTGTCTTCTCCTCCTGGACGCTGTCGCACCCTGTAGCTGGGATAAGCGGAGAAGACAGCGAAGCAAACGACACGTACTTGCGAGTGGGAATAAATTGAGCCTGGGGTGGCTCGCTTCCGAACAAATTGCCAATAGAGTCATGACCACCCGGCTGCGTTCTTACGCGTCTAGTTGACTGCATTAGTTCGCACCACAAGACTGTTGGGTCTATGATACCTCGTAGGCTTGAAGTCATCCGGGCTGCCCGGAGAACTACTTTGAACAGGCTGAATGTTTTACGTTAAATTTGGCAAAGGGAGCATCTGAATATCACTGCACCTGTGTCGCGGCTGGCGGCGGGGCAGTGGACAATGCATCATCTGTGAATTCTTCCGCAAGAAGTCTGTTGATTTCTGACGAAGAAATTGTGGGACTCGTAGCTGTCTCTGTTTATTCCAACTCTGTCAAAGACCAAAACCAGGTCACAAATGCCAAAATCACCAGGCAACTCCGCTTCGGTGCTCGTTAGCTTGCCAAATTTGGCATATCCTGTGAATCAAATGAGCACTTCTCATTAAGGGAGATAATCTCGATTATTCACGAGGCAGCTTCTGAATATTGCTAAAGCCAGTATCAACAGTAGTCCCTGTGTATCTGGATGGATCCTGAGCCTCGCGGGTATCAGGAAGATGTTTGACAGGCCACTTACTTGAGGAACTCGACCAGGCTGCGCTTGGTGAAGACGATGCTCGTGTTATCCCAATCAAGCATCCCTATGATAACAAGTTGGGCGCGTTTCACGACGAGCCATGAATAAGAATACCGAGGTTCATCGACCAGTCCTTCTCTTTAGACATATCAACAGCTTGCGAAGGGGTAAACCTGTATGAAGTCATGCAGCATGTTGAGATATAGCCGTTACACAAACACTTACTTCGATGCCATTTCGATCGCGCAGATATAACAATATCAAAATCTTTATAAGTTTGTGAACGATGGTCAGCTTGAAAGACGCGTTCGATTGTGATACGGTTGTTCCCTTTTCTGGCCAATCCATGGACCGTGGAAAGTAACAACTTCTTTAAGTGCTGCCGTCAAAGTCACCAGCTGGCCTGCTGTGTGGAAACTACAGATGTTGGCGAGGTGCCGTTTCCTGGCTGTGAATGCTCTGCGGCCCTCGACAAGAACCATCACATGCAGAGCATCCGATTTTTACACGGACCCCTCAAAGAACCAGGAGCCTGGGGTTTCTACATCCCCCGACATTTCCCCAAAGCAACGGAAAATTCTGAATAGAGCACTGCGCGTGGATCAGGCTGGTGAAATTGCGGCTAATTGGATTTATCGGGGACAATTCGCTGTCCTTGGCCGCGACCCGCGAGTTGGGCCCTTGATTCAAGTGAGCATCTCAAACAGCAATTCAACCATGCCCAATCAACTTATTCTGGCGGAAGGAAATGTGGGACCAAGAAAAATTACATTTGGAAGTGATGGACAAATTACAGCTACAACATGAGGTACGACCAACATTGTTGTCCGACGTCGCCAAAGTTGCTGGCTACGCACTCGGAGCGGCGACGGCCCTCATGGGCAAAGAAGCAGCCATGGCTTGCACAGAGGCAGTAGAGACTGTCATAGGAGAACACTACGATGAGTTTGTCCCTGTTTTTAGCTATCATATCCGCAAGTCTTACGCTCCATAAAATTCAGCCAACTGAAAGACTTTGAGTTGTTGCCATCATCCCACCCAAGCATCCCACTTCTGAGGGACGTTATCAAAGAATTTAGAGATGACGAGTTAGAGCACTTAGACACTGCTGTTGAGCATCACTCTCAGCGAGCCCCTGCGCATGCACTACTTAGCGCAGTTATCGCTGGTGGTTGCAAGGTGGCCATAGAATTATGCAAGAGATTCTGAACCATGCTGGCTTCGATAGAAATAGAGACATAATTGACGGTAAATATGATATATCTACCTCATAGTATGCGCTACACAGACGATATGGTTAAAATCACGCCTGTGCCAATGCCTCCCCTTTTCTCTTGCCTGCCCAATTCCATTCCAACTATAATAACGACATCAGTGAATCATGCAATGAATGCAAAGGAAGCAGTGTACGTGGGTTTTGCTTGCCAGGTAATAGATCGCTCCAGGCACGAGTACGAACCCACACATCGTGACCCATGTTGTCCGTGGAGTAAATCTGAAATGCTTATACGCATCTTCACGCTAAAAACAGAGGAAACCTCAGAAAGACAGAGGCACGCGGTTGAACCCGACTGACCATACGATTCCATCTTTCAATTGCGGGATCGACCTAGAGGGCGTATTAGAGAATGAGTCTTGAGTTCAGGAGTACGTCCAAACCTTCAAAAAACCTTGATTCGTTTAGAAGTTGTCAATATATCTTCAAGCATTGTTAAATTATGAACTGCTCACTGGGTACTGCCATGGTCGTACTATCGAGGGAGTGGTGTTGTTGTGGCTTGTTTGGCCGCGCTTATTGGCAGCGTTTCTGTGTGCTGCGTGGTTCCTCGTGAATATCTTTTGCTTCTTGACTTTCATCGTTTTTCAAGGGAATTTGTGTCAATTCTTTTTATTCCATGGCTTATAACCGTGACTGGGATAAAGGAAAGGATAACTGGGGCGACAGTGGGGCATGGGCTACTGACAGAGGAGGTAGAGGAAGGGACGATGACTATGGGGATGGGAAGCGTAGGAAATTCAACAATGGCGTGCGTGGTCCTTCTGTTAAACTTATGCCTTTTCTCATTTGTGCTCATTAGGGATACGACACGAGCAATGCCTACCAAGAATACAGCTATGAGGCCTCCTACAACCAACAGTCTCAGAGCAGACCACAGGACTTTGCACATGATCAGTCTCACGACGACAAGCACCAGAAAGGCTTTCAAGGGAAAAAGCGTCTAGTTCCTAGCGAACCCAGTCCCCACGTCATCTTCCTAGGACTGGATCCCGACTTTTCTGAGGCGGATGTTTGTCGACGCGCTTTACATATCTTCGAGTACCGAGCTGAATCTATGCTATACTTTAGCTGCAGGCATACCTGTCCAACAATGGGTGCAACATTGAAACGGTCACCATTATAAGAGACAGATCAACAGGCACTTGCCCATTCGTATTCATATTCATACCGTGCATTGACGTTTGTGACCGTTGAATTTTTGAAGGTATCTCAAAGGGCTTCGGCTTTGCCCAGTTCGCGAGTGTTGAACATGCCCGTGCATTTGTGGATCCTATTTTCCCGTTTATTCAGGTCCCTCCACCCGCTTCGCACGGCGCTTCAGCGACAGCTACATTCTATAAGGCCCTTGAGACCGGCATTCCCCACAATGGTCGACGGGTCAAGATCGACTACTCGCAAAGTGCTTTGCCTGACAAAGCTCGTGGTCGCCAGAACATGAACGACGGCACGCGTGACATTGGCAATACCCAAGGGCCAGTGCTACTTTTCCGTGGTCTAGATCCGCTGTCGGGACCGCAAGCGATTGCTCAGGCCATGATGAATTCAGCAGGCCCCGGGAAAAATGGAGCTAAAGGCATGAAACGCATTATCCTCATCAAAGATAGGGTCACATTGGCCAGCTTCGGATTTGCATTTGTTGAGTTTGTCGACAATCAGGTAACGTGACGAAGCGTGATACAACATTAGTATCTGATCCTGGTTTCTTCTACAGTCCGCAGCTTCAGTGTTGGCTACTAGCATGTCTCCTCAGATTCATCCTTCGGGCTTTCGAATCTCCGACAAGCCTGTTGCCGCTTCGTTTGCTCATCAATACTCATTTCAACCAGTTGATCATATGCTGCGCGACGAAACTGCAATTTCGTCGTCCATCAACCTGGGTGGAGTTGAAGGCGCATTTGTAAAGTATTGGGATGACTCTGCCATGGTTGCTGTCTTAGAATTCAAAGTGGAAGAGCCTGCGCAACCCCAGGTCCAACCCTCAACTGGACCTGTCAAAGAGAAGAAGGAAAAGAAGAAGAAAGGTGCGCCAACGAAATACTCCTCTTTCTCTCACTAATTAAGTGGGAACTAGATGATGCTTTGCACAAACCTCCTGCGCCTTCAGTATTGCCTATCTCTGATAAACCTGTCACACTCAATTTCAACAGAGGCGCCCTTGGAAATAAGCTCAATGTATCGACTGCAAAGGCTCCGGGACAGCTGTCACTGGGGTTTTCTGCTGATGATTTCGCTGATGACGAAGATGACGCCGAAGCGGCAATCTCAACAGAAGATAACAAAGGTTCTTTCACATGTTGTCTGCAATTATCTGAGTATGAGAATTGACATTTGTCTTGTGGCAGTGACAGCGTCGAAGATGGTCGCTCCGCTCATCACAAGCAAGAAGGTTCGTTCGCTCCCGCATGATTTTCCAGAAAATTGATTTTCGGTCTTCGTATCAGACCGTCAGCAATATCCAGAAATGGAATCAGGTTCAAGAAGAACTCAAGGATGGCCCGAATGCCCATGCACCGGTTTGCAGATATGCTGTGATAGGAAGAACAAGCAGCTGATCATTTAGGTTCCACAGGCCAATCCCCCGGCTGTTGTGACGTCGACTGTAGTCTCAACAGCACCATCCAGAGCACCTTCTCCGGAACCTGTTGAAACCGAATTCGAGTTCTCTGATACCACTGCTATGACATGCTTACTTTGCGCCCGGCAGTTCAAGAGCCTTGATCAATTGAAGCGTCACAATAAGGAGTCCAGTCTCCACAAGGCGCGCCTCTTGTTAATGCAATATTGTCAGAGTGAGCTAACGATTTCTTTCGTTGCAATCCATCTTTTCTGTCGTATAGAAGAATTTCAAGGACGCTAATCTGAGAGACGTCGCACGGGAAAAAGCTGTAACTGCACGTCAGACTGCTGACAAGGCTCCCGAGCAACCCAAATATCGTGATCGAGCATCAGAACGACGTATTATGCATAACCAGCCTGACGTACCTTTACCCGACAACATTGTCAGTACAATCGGTAAGAAGAGACGACAAGTTGAAGGCCCGCCCCCGCCCCCTTCACCCCCACCAGTGGTCAATCCTGGACAGGATGAAGCAAATGTCGGCAACAAACTCCTGAAAATAATGGGTTGGAAGGAAGGTTCTGGGCTGGGCACCGATGGCGAAGGCAGGGTGGATCCAATGTATGTATTACTTATTTCATGGCCAGGCCCTACTGAAACGTGTAACCCCAGTCAAACAAATATTTATGCACAAGGAGTAGGCTTGGGCGCCAGCAAAGGCAGGGAGTTAGGGAAGTATACCGATGGTTATGCTGGTTATGTGCACATGGCACAGGATGCGGTGAGTGTAGTCATTTTCGGCCAAAATAAATATACAACATGGTGCCTTGGTACTCATCTGAATACCCTACAGGCGAGAGAAAGATTTGGAAGCTAGTGGCCGCGTTGCTCTAAGACGCCTCTCAGCTTGGATATCCTGTCCCTACTCATGATAATTTATGATTCATATGATTTGTACCCATCGAATGACCAAGTGACAGAGAAAGTGAAAAGTAACTATAACGCTAGAAGCCACAAAAAGGGCGCAAGTAGGATAGTCAAGTAATTGCTTGATGACGAGCATGCGCCATTGTGCTGAGCTACTGAACCGGTAGTTGACGCGGACGGACCACTAGACCCTGAAGCCAGCAGAGTAGATGTCACAACAGGAGATGTAGGAGAAGGCGTGAAAGTAGCCACCCCTTCCTCGACCGTGAAGTAGGTTCCCTTAATCAAATCATTAGTTGGTAACAGAAGATGTATTAGCCGAATACGCACGGCAATTAGAGGTCCGATGTTCGAGGCCTTATGAACGTTGTTTTAATGATAGATCTACATATGAGGAAAGCGACCACACCTTAACATAATCCGCGAGGTGGCAAAATCCTGGATGGTTGTTTAGGATATGGAATCCATGCGGCGGAGAGACTGTTGGAAACTGCTGAGCGTAAAGTAAGATAACATAACTGCAGGGATATCAGGGTTAATTTCCTTTTAAGGAGGAAAACAGTAGTAACCGGTGTGGTCCGCTCCCGGACGGTGGAGTTGGACCCCTGTACTGTTCTACGTCCACGCCTGCATGTGTTAATACAGAGTAGTCTGTACAGACAATATGTAAACCACAAAAACCAGATGCAATTGGAAGCATATCCGTACCTTGTACAGTTACACCATTGACAACCCAGTGACAAATCTGACCCCGCGGGTCAGTATGTCCTGGAGCCCAGGCATCCACCATCACAAGAGTGTATTTCTCATTCAACAAGGTTGTCATATTGACCGGCGTGATAGTAAGGTTCGGGGCAGTTTGCGTCCCTGACACGGGGATGAACAAATCCTACGGCGAAACACAATTCACTTACGAGACTTTGGAAGAAGTTGACCTGGGGTCACGATACCGCCGCCGGTGTACGTTGCGGTCAGAAGCGCAGTAGGAGTAAAGTTCGCCATTAAGTATGGCACCAGACCAGCCCCTTCAAAATGAGCGCGGATAATTTCGATTCCTAGAGTCGTGTTGTCGGACTGAGCTGCATGCACGAGGGGCGAAGCGAGAAGCAGCAGAGATAAAACCATGCGTCCAGCGGAAGGTATCATTTTCGAAGGGTATGTTATATATGGAGTATGTAGAGTTATAAAGAGAATGGTTCAGAACTTGGAATTCTGAAAGTCGAACTTGATCGGATCCAACATTGACAAACAAACAGTCCTTCAGTGAGTTGCGTGGTGAGCGAGACTAAAGCAAAGAGATACGATACAGATAAAGAAACATCTAATGAAGGCAGACGGAGGAATTATGGCACATCCGAAAAATTCGAGTCCACTGTTATGTCTGGGCTGGGCAGATCTGGTAAGCTTACTGTAGGAGATAGGGCAGATTGTGAGTCAACACCACCAAGGTCAGTCCTTCTCCGCGTCCGCCGTCGTGGCACAGAAGGGACAGTAGGTGACACTGTCCCGAAGCCATCGGCTTTGAGAGCGGCCAGCATATCTCGCGCGACGTCAACGGTAGTGTCAAGTGGAAGTGCGAGAGGTCTAGCGTCCGGTTTTAGACGAGCCCTTCTTGCGCGACGTGTAACTGTGTCTCCACTGCGCAGCTTCTCCAGTAGATTGTCCAGAACCAACTCATCTTCCTCTCGTATGCTAGCATCCTTGGCATTTTGGCGCAATTGCCTTGTCTCTGCCATAGCTTGCTTCCGCTTCTCAACCGCAGCCTTCTCCTCAGCAGCAGTTTGATTCTCCATCTTACATTTCTGTAAAACGTTAGGTAATCCCACTGCACCAACGTGTCTGGGTCACTGACCTTGTAAGAAGTGACAAAGGTTTTGAAAACCGCAAAGAACTCTGGTGATGTAATGCTCTTTTCATCCTCGCCATAATACTTGACCACTTCCGTGAAAGTAGTTTCTGCGTGATTTACATCGTCGACGAGATATTCTAGCCTCGACGTTGCCTTTCCGACAAAGGTCCACATCTGGTTGCTGAACCCATCATTTTGTGCTAGGTCGGTATGATAGTCATTCAATTCTTGGCGAATACGTTTCAAACCATCGCGAAGTTCGGCAAGATCCTTTCGGATATCCTGAGTATTCACTGAGGTGAGTTATGTCAGTCAATCTACGTTTGTTGTACAGCAGGTCCAAACCTCGGTAAGCTTCTGCGGGTTTGGCGAGCTCGTCTAAAAACTCTTCCATGCTCAGAAAATGCTTGTGAATCGTCCGCTCGAGGAAGTGCAGTAGTGTGGTATTGTTGACGGATTTAGTGTCAACAAGCTGTAGTGAGATTAAGTCAAGTCGAGAGAACAAAAGAGAGGGATATACCTTGTTAATACTGCTCACTCTGAACCCAAAGGCGCCTCCCTTAATCCCTGTGCCATTCATGTAATTGCCGATCATGAGTATGAGCTAATATATATATGTTAGGCAAAAACAACACTTTGCGCTCAGGACCTACATTCAGAACTTCTTTGAAGTGCTTGGCATGCAGTAAAGCATCTCCTGCTTCGCTCACCTTCCTTGCGCCCTATGTGATGGTGGTGAATATGACTTAAAATGCCCAATGAATAACTACATACATCATCCAGGAGTAGCCACTGTTCCTCGAACTTGCACTTGTAAAGCATCCCCTCTATGCGGGGACCAAGACGATCAATCTGTATGAGTTTGACCATGAGCCGGTCGGAAGGGTGTAACCCAGCCAGTTCCTCAGGCTCAGCGTTACGGTATACATTGAGTTTGCCAATCTAAACATGACTTAACCGCCAAAGCCCGAGTATTTAATGGGAATCGCACCTGTTCCGGGGTGGGAAGGACGCCTTTGAGTTCGCTCAAGAAGTTTTCGGAGCACATCTCCTGATCGAATTGCTGTATGCGGCGTGCAATTTCCTCAGGTTCCATCTTCTTCACCCGCTGTATAAGTATCTCTGGAAAGGGATATTTAAGTAGTATTTCCAGGATTTTCTGGCACTCCAAGGACTCACCAACTCGTTTCTTCGTCTGTGGGTCAAGGACACTCTTCAACTCGGCTTGCCTCTGTCGAGCTTTTCCAGGAGGGAGAGAGTTGTCAACTAGAATAACGAAATAATGAAGATAACACACCCATAAGATTGATCATCAACTGCTTGGCTTTGAAGTCCTCCTCCATTTCCATCCACACTCCGTCAGATTGTAATTTGGCGAGCATTTCTTTCTCTTTCTCAGGTTCTTCGTCTTTCCAAAGGGTCTTGCCGACTTGCTGCTGCGGAAGCTTGTCCCACTGTAACTGCTTCATCTTGGCACTAGGTGTAAATGGCATATCTTTGCGAGCAGAAAGTAGGACATTGAGATTTGCACTGAGGAACATGGATGCCCGAGCTGAACTGGATGCAGAACTTGGGGCAGAAGTAGCACCCTTCAGGAAAGAGGGTGGCGGCGGTGGCGGCGGGGGTGGGGCACTGGGAAAAGTTGGAAGAGGAGGAAGATATCCAGGGGGTGGCGGCGGCGGCGGCGGCGGAGGTGGAGGTGGTGGCGGAGCGGCAGATGACGGGGTTAATTCGTCATCATCTTTCGGTGGTACTGGTGGAGGAGGGGGTGGAGGGGGAGGGGGTGGAGGGGGAGGAGGTGCTGCTGCTGTGACGTCAGATTCCTCAGCGAGGGAGGCAAGCAGAGATGCCGTTGGACTACCCTCCGAGACAGGTGGTATTCGACCCCGGGATTGCAGTTTTCTAGCAAGCTGTTCAGTGAAGGACACAGTAGTGGGTCCACGAGAAGCTTCTGAAGAGCCGTCCGAGTTAACAGAGGTGGGTTGGGTATCATCGGTGAAAGCAGTGAATCCGCTGCGTGTGGATTGACCAAATTCGCTCTCTGCATCAAGCTCTTCACGGAGTGATGACTCGTTATCACTGTAATCAAGTGTGTTGTCGTACCGAGGCGCGAGAAGATTATTAGCGCGATGTGAACAGGGTAGTGATGGTGTGTCATCGCCTGGTATCAGACGGTTTGTACGCCTAGGTGACCGATTAATACTCCGAGGGCTAGCGACAATACCATCTTCAGGCGATAACTGTACAACACCGATGAGCATTTACAAGCGTTGTTAATGAAAAGATCATACAAATTTGGCATTCGCTGCAAGCTGATGGTTGATTTGTGCCCGTTCATCCGCTTCGTCAGCATCCATGAATTGCGACTCGTGACCGTTAAGGACTCCAGATATCCGGGGAGCCTTGGAATATTGCGATCGGCCTCTTGAGCCATTAGCGCCCCGTTGGACATCAGACTTCCGAGGAGTGGCGTCATCATCCAATTGGTCATTTTCATCACTTTCACCGTCCTCCTGTTTGGTATCTTTCATTTTCTTACCACGTCCCTCGAGGATGCTGATGGTTTTGGTTCGTTCGAGATGCTTGTTCAGGGTCTCTATTAAGGTCTTCCGGTCCATGGTCCCAGAACTAGAGTCGAGGATTTTCTCGTAACCCTTGCCAACCTCCCTCAGCATTCTGAACAGCTCCATGATCTGAGCTTCCAGTTGAGCTATTTGTTCCTCATACCCGGCTTTCTGCGTCTCAAGTTGTCCTTGAAGACGCTTCGTAGTTTCCCGGTGAGAGCCAAGCTTCTGTTCGAGGAGAGCGACCTGTGCCTTAAGATGGCCGACGAGACCGTCTGAACCTTGTGACATCTCCTCTTCAAGGGCCTCCTTCTCAAGCTTCAGACCCAGAGCCTGAGAACGAGCTTCAGCAGCTTCTTGAATGGCATCCTGATATCGCTGAGCATCGTTTAGCTGGCCAATAATCCGTTGAACGGTGTGCCCAAGTCTCTTCTCCGCGGAAGCAAGTTTCCCATCCATGACCACGTCCGTAACCAGCGAGTCCAACAACTGATAGAGGCGCATCATATCAGGACCTTCCTCCCGGATAAGTAGTAGATGCCGCATCATAGAGAGGAAGTACTCCTTCGCGCCTGTGCTCTCCGTTTTGTGACGAAGGGCATTCCAAATGTCTTCAGCACTATTGAGGTCGCGAAGTATTTGCTGGTCGTACCGCTCCCGTAATTTTTGCTCATCTTCTTTCAGTATTTCCTGCAGTTCTGCGAGCTGTGCTTCCATGGGCTCAGTACCAATCTCGTGACATAGAGCAATGATACGCTGAAGACCAGCAGAGTCCATTAACGAGCGATGGTGCAGCCGTACGTCCAAGTCTTCTATGGCGTCTAAAATATGAACAATCACGAAAAGGTTGGTTGACTAGGAACAAATTAATATTCTAGCTAGAGCACAAGTAAAACATACTTACCGCATAATCTGCGAGGGAGTTGTCATGTCCAGCGCCTTTGCGAACTTCTTCGCTAGCTCCGACCAGACTCCCCATCTTGCCCCTGCCCAGGAGCGCGCTCTCAAGAGACCTGAACCAATAATCATAATATCCGTGTGTCTCGCCATTGGCGCCACTAAGGGCTTCTAAAGCTGGAAATACTAATGAAAGAGGGTCTGTACCGTTGTAAATGATAGAGAGGAGGACTTCGCAGATCACTTTGCGATTTGGGAGATGAGGTGAATTGAGAGAAGACGCAATTTGAGTGACGACACCATTCAACTTTATAGCGTCGCGCACTCTGGACTAAAGCACCCGCGAGGATCTGAGCCCAATGAACCATGACGAGTAAATGAAAAAGAAACATACGGCGCTGTTAAAGATAATCTTCAAACACTTGGCGATCTCACCCTCGAGGTGGGTGTCAGATGGGAGCCTATAAGAGGCTTTAGTATATGGACCTGAATTTAAAATAACGGTGCTACCTCTTGGTACCTTTACGGCTTATGTGCATTAGCGCCTGCGCCAATACAGATGCGCCCTGCAGCTCAATGAAGCGTTCAAGCCAACTAAACAGACCAAGGTCATCAGAAATTACACTGCAAAGACTAACATCCCACCTCGTTTCATGACTCTTTAAAGATACCCAAACACTGGAGGCCTGTTTCGCAGTGATGGTGTTGTCGAGGAACTTCCTAATATACCAGTCTGGTGTTCCCTCGCCAAGAGAGCCTGCTGCACTTGAATCACCCTGCTTCCGAGCCTGCTCCTCTCGAGTTTTTTCCTCCTGCCATCGTAATTGTTCTGCACCATATACCAACTGCCATTTCTGTTCAATGGTGAGCTTGTTCACCGGAGGGAGGTCGCGAGTCGCTGATACGTGTTCAAAGAGAGCTTCGATGTCCTCATCTCTGTCTGGCCGGGGCAGGACAAATTCTTCCTGGTTTGAATGAGGTTTATGGAAGAAATGCGATAGGTGGCTGGAATGAGTATCGGAACTTGAGAAGCGAGAGGCACGCTCGGCTTCCGACGAAAAAGGCATAGAGGAGCCAGGTCGAAGAGAAGAGTGAGATACGGCCGGTGAAGATGGGAGAGGAATTGAGCCAAAATCAGCGCCATTCGGACTACGTCTGCCTGATGAACCAGATGCTTCACTTCTGCGAAGTTTATGGGTGGGAGTCTTGGGTCGCTTTCCGGTGGTGAACGAAGCCACGGAATCATTGTAAAGAGTGAAGGATTCTGCTGCGCTAACACTAGAATCCGGACGAGAGATGTTGGTTCGATCCCGTTCGAGTCTGCTGCGCTGGTAAGCAGTGAAGTGACTGTAATTCATCTCGGTCCCATTGTGAGTAAGAGTGGGGTTTGTGAGGGGAGCTGAAATAACTGGGTTTGAAGATGTACCCCGCAAGCCTTGAGACACGGTTCCGACAGGCATTGGGACCAGAGAGGCAGGAGCAAGCTTGTCATAGGGAATAGAATGCTCGGAGAGATCACGACCTGTAACCGAGGACTGGCGGGGCCGTCCTTTCTTCCTACCAAATACTATGTCCATTGTAAAGGACGTTTCTACTGGGCTGAGCCCGTCGACTCTGCAGAGACGAGGGAAAGGGTATCCAGAAATAAAAAATAATTAAGTAGATGAGCGCGTCCGTGCTGTTGTCACTAATGCACAAGCACTAGCACATTGCCAGCCACTTCCAAATAAAGGTCAACAACGTGAGATTCTGAATCAGACCAAAGCCCCTATATGCATTCATACATATTTAGTCGCCTTTAGTACTGACAATGAACAAATCACTTTTGCAGCGTTACAAAATCTGTTACTCGTCTTGCATTCTTTTCTTTACGCACAATCGTTGACACCCGTCTCATTATTCTACTCTTGCTGAGAACGATCTGTTGTTCATCCATGTCTGCGTCTGTCTCATTCAGCTTCGGTAAGCACCCGCGTATCAAACATATGGAACGCATGTTTATACAGTTCAAGGTACCATTGTCATGATCATCTTTTTCCTCATGGTCATGATCACCATCCTCGGCATACTCTTGCTTGTCATCGTGCGTATCCGTCGCCACAACGATTGCTACGCCTGCCACTCGTTCTCGAGATTTCCCCGGAGCAAGGAGAGTACGGACGACGACTCAACTGTTTCTATCTCCCCTTCCTCTCCGACGATTGTTGGTCTCACCTCCACCAAGGGCTTTCCTATCATACATATGATCGTCACCCCACCTACCCCAGCGCAGGTTCTCACACGGTCAGACAAGCTTGATTCTTGCAACAAGGATGAGGTGCACGAGTTGCCTTTCAACAGCCATAGCGATGACATAGTAGTGTATGGGTATGCTATATGATAATCACACTTATCAGACAATCTCATTTGTGGACATCTGTATTAATGGACACATTGCAGTGTAATCTGATTACCCAGAATAGCGGTGAACCGCAAATGAAAACATTCAAAAAGAAAACCGTCACAAAGACGGGGGGATATGCAAAAAATTGTTGGACTCCGTGGGTCACAAGGTTATCAACCTTCACCACTTGCCATCACTGCCGCTAACCCACAGCGCCCGTAAAGAGCCGGATTCATCCACTTTCGAAGCAAAAAGCTTTCCCCGCTCGGATCAATCCCAACCGCCGCGCACCGCGCCAGAAGGGTGGCAACACGTACTTTCACTTAGCCACTTCCCGAACTATCCTTGTCGTTTGCACAACTCGGACCGCCCATCCACACTCGCACATCGCCCATCACGGTCTCCACAACGTGCGTCGCGGAAGTCGCATCCGGTCCAGAATACGTCGTTGATCACTCAGCTATCGCTCGAGGTCTGGAACACACTCCTGACAACTTCCCAATCACCTTCTTGTCCGTACACCAGTCGCAGTAAACCAAGACAGCCACAGCTTTCATGAGCCCTTCACCCATCATCAACATGATCCCTCTAGATCTACCTGTCTTGTGTGTAATCTCGTCATCTGGGAAAGGAGCATGCACGCCAAAAAGACGTCCCATCACCGCTGAACTTGAGAATAAGTCTCTGTCACCGATCCCGAAGGAAGAGTGATGCAGCGGAATGACAGTAGACTTGAGGTGTGAGAGCCAAACCCATGGTTTAAGACGAAAGAAGACAGGATCGAACTAGTTGAACCTGCGAATAGAGATCCCAAGTAACCCACAGGGCGGGCTGAACATGGATACGAGGGACAGACCGGCGAATCGAAGGATGGTTGAAAAAGCAGATGCGCATTCGACAGATCAGGTCTTGGCGATGATCCCACCGACATAAGTCAGTTTCGAGCGAATGACCTTGAACATAACCTGAACCTTCAGAATGACAACGGTCAGCAGCATCGCAAATACAGTCACAGAACGTGTTAAAATGTGGAATAAGTCAATCATACGCGGCAACTCCGTAGCATGCCTCTGACATGTAGGGTAGGGGAGCCGAAGCTGCGGGGACGACAGCAAAGTTGTACCCATAACGCTCTAGCCGAAACAGTCTTTAGTATCCCTTTCCTGTTGGTACCACATTCGCGACCAAGTGCATTCCAGACCAGGCTCCACCTCGCAGATCACCGCGAAGCCAGGATGTTTGCTGCGCGCGCCGGCGCTTTGAAGCTATGCACATTTTCCCGTTCCAAAGGACGACAGAGAAAACAAACATTGCTCACGGCGAGCAAATTCTAAGACGCCGAGGAGGAGGAGCGGGTAATCCCAGTGAGACCACACACAACTCGAGGAAAGAGTCAAAGACTCAGGCTACGGGAATCATGTGCGTTGACCTGCTAAAGAATATGAACCACGAGGGGTGAGGGCAAAGGCGCAAGTCAAGACAACCGGTCTTCCAAAAGCGGCCCTGGGCAAATTGATCTCTACAGAAATCTGTGCGTGACCCAGGATGCACGCCACTGCAGTTAACCACAGAATGCGAACCAGTACGTAATCCGCTCCTTCTCTTGAAGGTCACCAAATAAAATCCCGCGACACCTCTCTGGCACTCGTTCCGTGGTTCAACCTCTGCCCACGACATGAACCAGAGCATTCCCGGCACCACCTTCCCTTTGACCGCAGCCATGTCAGATGTACGAAAGTTATTGCTTTCTGTGCGTAATATCTAGACACGTCCGCAAAGGGTTCCCGAGGCGGCACATGCGTAGGTCTGTGCGTATGCGTGGTGGAGGTGATTCCATGGTCGGTTACGAACGCGTTCCGAAGAGGCGATGAAGGTGGTTTCAAAAGAGTTCATCGCAGGAGAAATCAGCAGCAAGCGGGCAAACGCCTGAAGCGTACATGGAAGACCACTCTCGTAACGCGGCCCAACCCCAGAACAATGCCGCATTATTTGTGGTCCATGCAAGTAGAAGTGTATTCTCCCCGTAGTCGAAAATCATTAGGGTTAGTTATTCATCCGGTCAGGATGGATGTTGTGGCTGGAAGCAGCGATGAGCTCGATGGTGGTCTGGATAGCATAATGGTGCGAATGGTCTCCCGAAGTGGCCAGGGTGATTGGAAAGTGGACAGCAGACGCTGGACATAGTAGAGTTTGGTATAGAGAAGAGAAAGAGACGTGTCACTTGGATTTATTGACATCGTGTTGTTTGGTCGAATAACAACGCGTAAACTGTGGTGACGCCACTTCTCCTTCCGTCCTCGTTACCGTGACATTTACATAAATAAATTCGCGACGCATGGATTCGCACATGCAATAACTCTAGCTACCACTACCCTTAAAATCACATCTATGCTACATGACAAGCCTCTAATTGAGATAGTATCCTTTCTACATGCGTCCCACTGTACTAAACCATCCTTCACTGGGTGTTCCAGGTCCTTCATCAGCGTTAGGAACACTTGTCTCTGGCCAGGTATTGGTCAACCACGCCGATGTACCGAATAGCTGGCGGCACAGCTCCAATAAACCCTCTATAGTATCAACCATATTCTTCATGACCTCACCTTCTGCAACTGAGTATGCCAGGGAGATACCCTTAACCGATACATCCGCGTCAATACCCCGTCGCAGAGAGGCTTCTATCCTTGATTCGAGTGTTTCAAGTGCTTGTCTTGCAGATGGGAGGAACTGCGGCAAAGGTTGTCGAGCTTGAAAGACGTGCTGACACGCAAACAGCGAGATGCAGATACAGGATATCTGACAAGGGCGTCTGATGCAGTTCAGCAGCCGAGTTCATTGGTACATACAAATTCCTTCCGTTCTTTCATGACTGACGCGATAGTCTCCTTTCGGGGTATATTTTCCCGTGTCTTTCTAAGACCGGTCATCAAGTCAAGAATCTTCTGTATTTTGAGGACAACTTCGCGGTAGTGGCGCATTGGTTTCTGCGGACGACTCAATTATGAAAATTGAACCGCGTATTCAAGCCTACCGGCACTAGACTAAGTTCGTCATTCATGGTAGTCAGCAGCGACGACGATCGATGAAGCGCATTGCGAATTTGAAGTTCTAACTTTAACGTCTCTTGTTTGTCGTGCAGCGTAAATGGGTGTATACTCCGGAACATTCCCCTAGAATTAATTTAGGAGGAACACATTATGAATGGAGGATAAATCGATAACGTACTGTACAAGGAGAAGGTATAACTGGCTGAGTAATCTCAGTGTCGTGCTGGTCTGATTCAGAAACAACACCTTCTGGATGTTAGCAAATGAGGTCGATAATAGACAATATTGCCATACCCGGCTGTATCGAGGAAAAACAAGACTGTTCATTGCCAACGCGGCGATGATGCCCAGAGCAATCATTGAGGCCCTCATCCAAGCTAAGTCTGCGCAATCGTAAGGTATATTCATATCAGGCCCACGAGTGAAAATCAATACCTCGTGTAGACACTCCTGAATCCGGAGTTAGGTATTGGTATAGCACGACAGGAGGGAGCGTAACAGACCTAGATAACGATCAACATCATGCAAAGCAAGTCAAATGGAAACATTACGCGACAACACCCAAGGACGGAATCCTGCTTTTCGTGACAAACCACGTAATAGGTATATCAAACAACTGGTGACATTAGTCAGTAAATGCAGGGTGGTGTCAATTCATCGGGACTATTTACTGTAACCATTGCCACTATGCCAATGGGATTCCTCCCGCAAATAGCCCATGTCTATGCAAATACGGTCAGCGTGTGAAAATGATAGTGTATTGCAGGACGCACAATATAAGCATAGATAGCTCCTAGAATGGTCCCTGACTATCAAATACATGAACATGTCGTCGCAGTTTTTAATCAAACAGGATTTACGAGACGCAAGTAACCAACGCGCCAGGTCGCTCCAGTATTGGTTTCAAGGACCCATACGTAGCTGATAATCATCCATTGGCCGTGGATCCACCTGAACCACTGAAAACCTAACATTGATGCCATGACAATTCATGCTTGACTAGGGATGCGAATAGACAAACCTGCTGAGTGAGAAGGAAGAAAAGCCGGAAAACTTAACATGGCCACCCCAATGGCATTTTTTGTCGCATGCTGCAAATGACTGGAACGCTGCGTGTCGCGGATTACTCTTGATGCTCCTAGTCGAAGCTGAAGTATGACGCGATGATTCCAAAGGTGTTGCAGTGTCAACGACAAGCATCGTGGGAGGGATTTTAGCGATAACTGTGGAACAGTAGGTATGTTTCTGGTGGCATGGCAATAGAAAACCTCTTGACTCGTTGTGTCATCCTGTCGATCGACAAAAGCAACGCCTTGACGGACTTCCTCAGCTGATAGTGTTGTCTCTGCTTCGAGAGTATCATGGGTTATAGGTGCCCCATATTCCTCCATTATGAAAGTTCGGGGCGCAACACCAAGCCACTGCCATGTCAATCGCGGGAGCCAGAAGCGAAATCGAGAAACTTCGTGGTGTGCAGCAATGCTCTGAGCTACTTGCAGTATGTGGCTCGTGTCGTAGGCCATCTGGCTCCATTATTGACGTGTTTAGCTCATAATAATCCCTAGATTGAATCACTTGCCTGTAACAATGACGTCACGAACAGGCACTGATGATGGAGATGCGAAGGAACAATGGAGCCAGATGGGGAAATCGGTTCTTCGCTCCATGTTTGATTAGTGTTACGCAACTCGTTTTTTGCAGTGTACCATGCGAAATTGAGATTGATGGCAGCCGCAGTAACTGCATCTCTCTCTGTGCGCAATGACTTGTGCCATAGGGAGGTATGTGTATACACGCCGAGCACCAGATCTTCGACTGCTTTGATTGAGGTCATAATGGTTTTACTAAGCTCTATTGCTGAAGCCTCGAAGGAAGAAGATGAAGCACAGTGCGATTCGTTGGACCAGTCGTTTTGACCTGGCTGAGAAACCGTTCCCCAGGATAATTCACGCCGCAAGTGTTCAACCATGCCCAGGAGAGGCTTGAGGGACTTCACTAGTATGGAATGTCAAGATGTGTAAAATGGGCACGTGAACAGGATGCTCACCGCTAACGCGCCCAACACGGAGTTCAAAAGCTGCTTGACAGTACATCTCATTCAGTATTACAGACTGGTGGACCAACTCTCCGTGTAAATCCTTCAATTCAGCAATTTTCTGGGAGGAAGGATAAGTGAAGGGATTATCCATGCCCACGGATAAGCAGCGATGGATAATTCTCAATGTTGACGCGACTTCTTCAATAAGATGAGTCGAGGACCAATGTAAAATCAACATGCTAGAAAACAAGCAAACAGATGCGGCTGTCACGGTGATCCATAAAAAACCGCCCGAGTCTGAGAGGACGGCCTGAATGATTGTCAATCTATGTGTAAAGGGAAGGGCACAGCAACATACAGAGGTTATTCCAATATTATTAGTCAACAGCCATATGGACACAAAACACGAAATGCGCGCAGATAAATGAAGACGAGGAAGACGGCTTTTCGCCCAACCAGCTTTCAGGATATCTTGTTAGTTGTGTCTATATGGCATGCGGCGGAAGACAAACCGAGAAAGCTGATTATCACAAGGAATACAGCTGGTATGAAACGGGATGTTACCGATCCCTCCTGCGGAATAGTTGCAAGGTATTTGGCGAAGGTCGATACGCCAATACCTGCCAGGGCACCCGTGATGTTTATAATAGTGATTTCAAGCTGCTGCGCCAGATCCTCTTGGACAGAGAATACGAGCTCTTTCAAGCTCAACACAAGGAAAGCCGACGATCCCCCCAACTGAGAAAATGGATGAATGGTCACGAAAAGTACGCAGAGAAAAGTAGAAACGACCCGGGCCAATGCACGACGGGAGATACGCTGTTTTACAAACTTATACAGCATCCGAGTCGAATGTGTATGAAGACAAGTGAAAAGACTATACCTGAAATGAGATCTTATAAAGGGCTCCACATGCCTTCAAATCACAGCTAAATTTGTTTCTTGCGTAAACGAAGAGTAACCGCAAGCTGGGAGGAGTCAGCCAAGAGTAGTACCCTGAGTCCCCCAGCTGTCCAGACTTGAACTGACCTTTTACATAAATATATTTGACCTGCATACTGGATCCGAGTCCGCGTCAATTGAGCCACGGAATTTGAATTGCGTCGGGCTTCACCTCACTATAGTCCTACGGACTACAAGTTGGGCCAAAAAACCCGGTTTCGAGTCAATTGAACTCGGATTGTCTGAGTCAGTGCAACGTTCACTCCTTCAATGCAATGTGTTTGTATATATTTGGTGGGTGTGAAGTTTGAACGCCGCACTCAGATCTACGTCATAACCCTAACCAGGTTAACAGCCACAGCTGTCACAACTTCGGATCGACCTCATGTCATTGTCGACATCGGAGTATCGTATGCATTCCAGTGCTTGTCGATATCCCCCTTTGAGCTGATGGTTTTAATTCTTTGGTGTTGTGACATCCCAATATTGAGCACAAGGCTCCCAATTGGAGTATAAGTAGCTCACGGCCTCATTGGTAGGGTCAATATTGCACAGACTTCACTGCATGAACCTTCCCTGCAGATTTTTCGCTGCATTCAGGTGAATATATTATGATTATGTTCGACCAGTTGACAAGGCCAATCTTACCAAATTTTACCAATAGTATAGGCTTGAACAGATCTTATTGTATTGCTGTCTGCATTGTTGGTTGAGAATATGCCGAGGCTTATAGCAACGAGTCCTTGTCTGTCCGAAATTTCGGTGATGTTACAAAATTTTGTAGGTACTTCGCCGACTGCACCCAACAAGTTGAATTGTTTCAGCGACTGTTGCTGAAAAGACCAGATGAGTCATAATCCTCTCTCGTAATTGTTCCGTGAGGATAGATTGTAACAGGTCACAAGGCAAACATTCAGAGGCACACAACCAGTTGCGTCCAAATTAAGCTGAGTGGGTGGACGTTTTTATGCAAGTAATTACGAAAATTAACGTTCGCTAAGCAGCAGGCTAGGTAAGGTTCAGGTACTATGCAAGTATAGGTTACATGTTATCCTGGTAACGTGTGCGATGGGACCTGAATTGCTTAATACTTACATATGGAGGTAAAACCTTTGCAGGCAACTAGCAAAGGATACTTACACATTGGGGGTTTCAACATTTCACTTCTTACAATATTTCAATCAAAAGCAGGTCTGGACCTGGCTAGAGCGTTCCAGACTCGGAGCACCCTAGATTACCTTTCGAATGTAATTTCACTGGCGGCAAAAGGTGGTCAAGTGACAGTTTCCCCGCTGTGTCAGTGTGCTCTATCTTCACAGCTATAACGGTCACAGTCACCGCCGGTTTTGCGATACGCCAAACACTGGTGCAACAGAAAGTGCATATTACATCTTCGGCCACTACCTGGCCTTCGCGGAGATCCGTCTCGCAGCCTTAAGTGCCCAGGCAACACAATTTTACGTTGTTCAAGCAGGGGAAACTAATTCTGTCATAAATGACTTTGGCTGGGCTGTAGATTCATGGTTGTCTGACCATGAGAAGATATCATGACCTGAACTTCTATGCGACTGTCTTATCCGGGTTCCCCATAGGTAATCAAACCAGAAAATATGAGTGTCGCAGTGTCCCCACGTTCCCTGTTACATGTTGCTACTTACATAAAGCTGTCCTCGAAGGTATTATGATACGTATATATCCATAGACTACGGATACTAGATGTACCCGAGTGTTCGTGCTTTTTGACGGTCTCACACATTGCTCTCGATCCACAACACAAAACAAATATCGGATAGTTATTAGTAGATAGAATACCATCTCAATAACATGGCCCAAATTTTTATATACAAAAAAGTTGATCTGTTGTGTTACTACAGCATGACCGAGCACCACTAGTCTATCGCACCTAGTGTTCGTGCATTCGTCACACTGTGTCACAGGTTGCCGACATTGCCGATTAGAAGTCCGCTACACACACGCAAGTTCGAGTTCATGCTTTGCTTTTGCGGCATGGCGGGATTTCAAAATGATGTAACGTCTTGTAGTAGATTGTCACGCTAGATAACATATCCTTCACTTGCACATCAATAGTCTGCCCAATCAACCTCAGAAGTTGTCATTTTAGCTAGATATCTGTCAGGATCAATGTTCTAAGCACCTCCGAGGTTAAGATTGCTGTGAGTTTGCCTTCCCGACACTGATCAGTGTGCCAAATTGTCTCCAAACGGTGTATATTGCATCATAACACTTGCACAACGCATTTATTCGAAAAATTAAAGATATAGAAATACTCATTGACAATGCAGGATCATTCCATTTCTATATACCAAAATGATTTGTGATGATTTGTATGTGCTGGAGCAAAAGCACGAACACTAGGTGAGCACGAACACTCAGGTACATCTAGTAGTATCTGGGGATAATACAAATGGTGATATACATTACTACGATCTGTTTCCTGGCGGTCTGTTTTTCTTACCACTAGCTCTTATAAGATGAGTTTTCCCCGTGGATCCCATCCATTCAACGCTAGCGCTTGTGTCTCGCTTGTTGTTCCTTCATTTGTCAAACATTTTTGTCACACTGAAATTTCATTGTCAATTTGCACCTTCGTTGCAAAGGGGTGAATGCTTGAGCTCTGAGTACTAAAATGCATCGACGTGATGCTGCGGTTATCTCTTAGTACACCTATGACAGTCGATACTAGTTCGAAAATTATCAGTTGACCTTTCGTTCATGCATGATGTGAAATGGCATCACGGACCGTGGGACAAATTATTCAAATGAAGGTCCCTCAATACTCTCAGTGACCACAATTCGACTGCGTTGCACTCCAGCTCTGGCGCACGGTTAACGTAGCTCACGATCGTTACCCACGACGCCTTGGCAATGGCTGAAAACATCTACAGCAAGGGAACGAGAGTCTGGTTTGAGGACAAGGATCAGGCATGGATTTCTGCAGAGGTCACGGCTGTTACCAAAGGCGCTGACGATTCGATGAAACTGGCGTTTGTCGATGAACGAGGCAAGGTACGCGTCATATTTTTCACTGTTCAATCTACAGAATTCGCCGACATGAGTTGCAATGTGAATGACAGGAATTTGTCATTAATACCACTGGCAAGGACATCAAGGCTGGAAAGGAAGGCTTGCCTCCTCTTCGAAATCCTCCTTTACTAGAAACAGCAGATGATTTGGCTACCCTATCGCATCTAAATGAGCCTTCAGGTATATTATTCTATGGTGAACGTCGGAATCAGTGCTAAGTGCTATTCAAGTCCTGCATACCATCCGCAATCGCTATGCCCAACATAGCATCTACACCTATAGCGGAATAGTGCTTATTGCCGTCAATCCTTTTCAACGAGTTACTCTATATGGCCCCGAGATCATTCAGGCTTACAGTGGACGGAAAAGAGGAGATCTTGAGCCTCATTTGTTTGCTATTGCTGAGGATGCATATACCGCGATGGCGAAGGAGGGCATGGGCCAGACTATCATTGTGTCGGGTGAAAGGTAATCTCCATGCATCTGTAGCTTTATTGTAATACTGATCTAACCCTGTCGTCGTTCAGTGGAGCTGGTAAAACTGAATCAGTGTGTGCAGTGCTTCTCCATGTTATTGGAACTCTAAATTGTTTTCAGGCTAAATTCATCATGCGATACCTGGCATCAGTAAATCCTCCCGAATCCCAAACGAAAGCGAAGACAAAATTTTCTCTCGACGAATCTAGTGAAATTGAGCGCCAGATACTCGCCACAAACCCGATTCTAGAATCGTTTGGAAATGCCAAAACAACTCGTAACGACAATTCTTCGCGATTTGGTAAATACATTCAGGCGAGTAATTCGGATTCAGGCCGCTGAATATCTAACACGCGCTGTAGATTCTTTTTGATGGCAAACAAGAAATCGTCGGCGCCCGAATCCGGACTTACCTGCTGGAACGATCACGCATTGTGTTTCAACCAACGACCGAACGAAATTACCATATCTTTTATCAACTGTGTGCTGGCGCACCATCGAAAGAACGAAAGGATCTCGGCCTTGACCCTGACGTGACTAAATTTCACTATCTGAAACAAGGAGGACCGACGTCGACACCGATAAGTGGAGTTGATGATGCGGAAGAGTTCCGGGCGACGCAGCAAGCATTATCGACAGTTGGAATCAGTGTAGAGAAACAGTGGGCGGTCTTCCGGCTTCTCTCGGCCCTGCTCCATCTGGGCAACGTGAAGGTTACCCAAACACGAAACGATTCGGCCATAGATGATGCAGATCCTGCCCTTCTTCTTGCTACTCGCTTCTTGGGAGTGAACTTCGCCGATTTCAAGAAGTGGACTGTCAAGAAGCAGATCGTTACACGCTCGGAAAAAATTGTCACTGCACTCAACGCTGCACAGGCGACAGTGGTTAGGGACAGCGTGGCAAAGTTTGTGTATGCATGCTTATTTGAGTGGTTGGTAGCCATCGTCAATGAAAGTTTGGCTGGTGAAAACGGAGATGCCGCCGAGCGAGCTGAGATGTTCATCGGTGTGCTGGACATTTACGGCTTTGAACACTTTCAGAAGGTTACATCTCGTCCTTCAGTTAATTCATGACACTCACTTGTTTACAGAACTCCTTCGAGCAGTTTAGCATCAACTACGCTAATGAAAAATTACAGCAAGAGGTGAGTGTAAAGTATCTGCAACGTGTCTATGGCTTAAGATATCACTGTCGTAGTTCAATTCTCACGTCTTCAAACTCGAGCAAGAGGAATACGTTAAGGAGGAGATTAACTGGACTTTCATCGACTTTTCGGACAATCAACCTTGCATTGATGTGATCGAAGGGAAACTGGGCGTCCTCGCGCTCCTTGATGAAGAGTCGCGTCTACCGTCAGGCAGTGACGCATCCTTTCTTCAAAAGCTGAGCAGCCAACTTCTGAAACCCTCCAACAAAGACGTCTTCAAGAAACCTCGGTTCGGAAATTCTGCGTTCACCATTGCCCACTACGCCCATGATGTCACGTACGAAGTTGAAGGATTCCTCGAGAAGAACCGTGATACAGTTCCTGATGAACATATGCTTTTGCTTGCATCCACGAAGAACCCCTTCTTGAAGGAAGTTCTCGACGCTGCCCTTGGATCTGTGAAAGCAGCCGAACCTCCACACCCTGGGTCACCCTCTCTGTCTGATTCCGGTAGTGGAGGTTCCCGTCGTTCATCCATCATTCCTGATCCTGGTCGTTCATCATTGGTGGCAGCGAACGCTGGCC